ACTTAAATCAAAGCATGATCGTAAACAAGGGAGATGAACATATGTTGTTGCTAGTCATAGAATGGGTTTCACATTTTACACCATACATGAGCTTATAAATATCTAATGATATGGTACAGACACAAGTTAAGCAATAAGCCAGATGCATTCATGCCGTGACCTCCAACATAAACACCCGCAATAACACGTTCTTTTCTCTTAATGTCACGGGCTAAGATCAGGTGACTAGGGGGTCCCTTAGTCACATGACTAAGTCAATCTCAACCATTGAACCTCATTAACATCTAATGATTCAAATTAAATTAATTTAATGAAAGATAAAGTAGTAATTACATAATTTATTTATTTTAAAACTAAAATAAAAAATAAATGTCGCACTCCCCGCAGGAAACGGCGTCCTCCTCGTCGGGCCTTTTTCTCGGAAATTCCCAGGCGCTATTGTGGGCTTTTTTGGCCAAGGTGTTTCTTTGCCCCACATCAGAGAGAGACAGAGAGATTTTTGCTGACATGTGTTTGTATCGCTTCGGTTTGTATTGTTTATCATTATTGTTTTTCATTTTTTAGTGACATTTTGTACAGTTTGTATACTTTGTACTGTTTGTCGGGGTTTTTTTGTAATGTTTGTAAGCTTTGTTCTTTTTGTGCATCATTTTTACCATTTTTGTCAACCATGTTTGTAATGTTTTTTATGTCTAAAAAACAACTTGGTTGACTTTTGGATGAAACTCCTCTACATAGGGATGGAGCATCCAAAGTCAACCCGAGTGTTTTTCCAGTTTGTATGGTTTGTCGGTCTAGTTTGTCACTTTTGTCCATCATGTTTGTAATGTTTGTATATCTAAAAAACAACCGGGTTGACTTTGGGACGAAGCCCCTCTATATAGGGATGGAGCCTCGAAAGTCAACCCGGTTTTTCTTTTCTTTTTGTATTGTTTGTCGTTGTAGTTTGTACTGTTTGTATTGATTGTAAATATGGTTTGTATACTTCGTAATTTTTCATAATATCCAAATTACCCCTCCCACTCATTTAAAATCTCTTCCCACTTTTTAACTGTTGTATTGAAGTGTCCAGATCTAATGGCTAGAAGGGTCTTAGTCAAGTGGCTAAGGACCCCTAATCATGCGATCGGCTCTCTCAATGTCACCAATTAACTCCCAAGGCAGAACATCTACGGAACAAGAACATGAGAATCGAAAGCTTTGTGTGCACCCATAACTCTAAGAAACAAACTTACAAAAACTTCAAACCGGAAATAAAGATAAAACCCTCAAATTAATGAGATGCATACCCAAGTCGATGGCCCCTGCACGAGCACAAGCTTTGGCCACCTCACGACGTCAGAGATTGCAATTGAAATTATCATGAATTCGGAGATTCGAAAGGCGCTGCAAACCAAATGAGCAAATGAACTTTGATTCAGGGAAAAGACACTAACAAATCTCCGGATATTCTCCAGACAATCAAAGAGAAGCTCGATATCTTTGTGGCTTTCCCATTTCTCAATCAACGACCACAGCCAAACGTTCGGATACATCGTACTCTTAGTACTGACCGATTCGAGAGTCTTCTCCTGGAACTCCTTCACGGCCTCTGGCATTCATGGCAGCACAAAACCAAGGGGGGGAAATTCACTACACAGCCTCTCAAAGCCGTCAAACAGAAAATTGCAGAGATTGCACATGACAGATCAAGTAACCTGTTGGAGCAATCTCGGCGTTATTTGATTCCTTCGAGAGATAATCCTTTCCAGTTTAATGGCCTTCAACAAAGAATTCGAATCGAGTTTCGGCATCTCAAACTGCGGGTGACAATGGAGGGGGGAAGGTAGTAGCAAGCGCGAGAAATGGAAGAGTAGCAGGGACACGAGTGGAAGAGAAGGTGGTGTCGTTCAGTTGGTGTAGGTGTAGCCATCGGAGCAGGGCGGACCTAGGAAGGGCAGGGTGTGTTGTCTTATAGGGGTGAACAAACACACCCGCAAAACGACCCATCCGTCCAACCTGATTCAACCCACCCGTATTAATCGCTAAAATTAAGGTTTTGGGTTGGATGAGGGTTTTCTTTTGTACAACCCGCCTTTTTTGGGTTGGATTTGGATTTTGGTTTACACAACCCGTCAAACCCGACCCAACCCGTGTTCCAATTATTAGTATAATTTCGTATCCAAAAAATATTTAAGTCGTATATAGCCATACTTATGAGAAAATTAAGATATTTCGTCATGTTTTCTCCCATGATCTTTCTAATCTAATGCATTCTTCAGCTTAAAGTTCAGACATATATTTAATATAGCTATGATTCACGTAATTCTTTTTCTTGTGTACAATTTTAATAGAATTACATATTATGGATGCGTTTGTTTATAATCCTTTTAGTTTATTTCAACAAATGTCGTGAAAAAATTAAACATATGTTGAAATAAATCACATTTTATAAAAATTCGAACAATATTTGTGAATTTTGATACCTTTCACTTCGGTTTATTCATTTGAAATTTTAATTAGTTGTAAAATATTTTTATGGTGTAGAATAATTACATATTTTGTGTTGGGTTGGGTTTTTACTTAAAAATATCTTCAACCCGACCCAACCCAACCCAACCCAATTAGAAACAAACCGTAGGGTTTTAATTTTTATGGGTGGGTTTGAGTTTAATATTTCCCAAACCGTAGTGCATCGGTCAGGTGATTAAAATGGCTAAACCTGGACCACCCGACCCATGTACACCCCTATTGTCTGACACACCCTCGCCAGAAATTTTGTGCATGGCCTATATATTTTTTGTACAAATTTTTTTAATTTGGGACTTCCGACACTGCACAAATAGTTGTGAGTGACACACCTTTATTGTACGAGAATGATTTTCTTTGTTAGAAATTTATTTATCTTAATTAGTAATAAACATTAATAAGTAAAATCAAATAAATGTGTTTGTTTTAAAGTAACTTACACCACAATCCAACAATGAAAAAGAATAAATAATCCCATCCTTTGAAAATCACAGTTTCCATCCCTTAACCGTTCCTTTGTTGAAATTCAAAAATAAAATAAAAAACTCATCCTTACCTCTTTTTACTTTTTAATTACCGAGATCCATTGCAACATCCCCTTTTCTTTTATTCTTTAATTTACTTGCTCTTGAATTTTGTGTTGACTTTAATTGTTTCAATTGCACGGTGTGAAAGAGCATTTTTCAGCTATGAAGATAATCAAGAATGAACTTCGAAATCGGTTGAGTAACCAATTTATAAATGATTGTTTAGTTGTGTAGTTGTGTATATCAAAAAGGATTTGCTTCGCAACATAAGCGTTGAATGTATTTTACAGGCATTTCAGGACATGAAAAGTCGTCGTGGTTCGTTGTAAGCATGACATTATGAACTTTATGAATTAATTTCTAGTAATTTCTATTTAGTTTTATTTAAATATTATCTTATTTCATCGGCGATACACCTTTCCGAAAATTCTGGGTCCGCCACTACATCGGAGAGAAGCCACCTGCGGAGCGGGAGAGGATCCAGGACTCGTGGGAAAAGCTCCCACAGCCGGCTACAGAGTTGAGGAGAATCGAAGACTTCAGGAGGCGAGCGAGCTGATGGCCGCCGGAGAAGACTTTCATGGCTTTGAATCTGATGCTGGCGACGGCGCGTGGAGAAATGGGAAATTGGTTCCCCTCTGAGCTAAGCTAACTGAGAGACTTGCTGGAGACAATCAGGGTTTAGGAAGGGGATCGAGTAATTACGTGTAGCGGCGGACCAAAATTACCCCTTATTTTGTAACTCCTCCTTATTTTTTGTGGATTTTCAGTTAGGTACTCAAACATGTCTAAAATAGTTATCATTTTGAATATCAATTTGGTAATAAAAAAACGCTGCATTATGTGCACATTTTCCATCGATTTCATCGTACAATGTTTTTTTTTTCTTTCTAAGATTATGTAACACCCATGGAAGAGGAAACTGGATCGTATCGACCGGTTCAACTGAAAAAATCTGGAAATGAATCAGGGACGATATGACACCCATTTACCAAGCAAATTATCGAGTCAGCCGGTTTTTACGGCATAACCAACACGATCCCAGATACCAGCCGGTTTTTTCCCGACCGGAGGTAGACTGATTTCAAAGGAAACGTCGTCGTTTCATGCGACTAAATTGAAAAATGAAAAAGAAAACCGTGCGAACTAATAACCCTAATGGCCTAATCCCTAATCGATTCTTTCTTCCCCATCATTTCGGTTTCACTTCACCTTATCGCTCCTCCTCTTCTCCAGAACGCCACCTGCTCGACACTCAACAAAAGAGAGCGTGGGATCTTGCCACACTCCACCTGCAAACGATCCTCGTGCACTCTTGTAGAGAAAGGGAGTGGAGGCTTGTACTCGGCCACTAGGGGTGGAGCTTATTCATTCTCTTCTTCTGAAGGTTTTTGTTCATGGACCTTTGGAGGGGCTTCCTCTTCTTCATTTGCCTCTTTAGTAGCAACATATTGAGTTACCTTCCCACTTCTTAATAGAATAGCATTCACCCCAGCTCTCGGATCCTTAGGGTTAGCAATGGTTTGGGAAGGGAAAACTCCTTGTGGTCTCTCGGTGAGGATCCCGACAAGATTACCGATTTGAGTCTCCAAGTTTTGAAGGCTCTCTTGACGACTTCATAGACCTACCTCAACTGAAGTGAACTTGTTTGTTGCGAGTTCCATGAATTGCTCAATCTTCTTGAACTTTTGAGAACTTGTACCCACAAATGTGGTGACTAGGTCTTCAAGTTTTGAAACTTATCGGGTTATTGTTGTTGCTCTTGGAACCCTTATCCACCTTGTGGTTGGAATTATTGTTGAAAGTTCTAGCCTTGAAATTGTGGCATTTGTTGAACGAAAGGAGGCCTTGATTGATAGTTCCTTGTTGGTCCTTGAAAATCGAGCGGCTTTGGATTGGTTGGTGAACACCATGCAAAGTTTAGATGATTGCATCAACCTGGATTGTAAGTGTTACTATTGGGGTTGCTATTGTTGTTGTTGATTCCCCTAGCATTAGCATTGAAGCTCACTTGCTCCTCGGGAGTGATCATTTCCTTCATAAGTTGGTACTCAGGAATCTCATGGTTAAGACTTGAACACCAATCACAAATCATAAACGGCTTCCTATCATGTAGGAGCGTCGAGATCAACTCATCAATCTTTGATATAAGTGGAGGATCCGCCTCCGTGGAGTGTACTCCCCTCTCTCATGTCCTTCTCTCATGCCTCGTCAACCCCCAATCATAGCCCTTAGCGGCCATACCTTCAAACAGTGTGGTCATCTCAGTGGTATCTTGTTGAACATGTTCCCTTGACACAATGAATCAATGAGAATCTGATCTTCTAAAAGGAGACCGTCGTAAAAGGTCTCGATCAGGAAATGCTCTCCAAACCCATGGTATGGACACTGGAGAAAAGGGTCAGAGTATCGCTCTCAAGAATCTCTTGACGTCTCGTCCGCCTCTTGGACGAAGTGAGTGATCGTTTTCCGGTATTCCGCCATTTTGGAAGGTGGGTAGAACTGGTTCCTGAACTTGTTGAGCAAATATTCCCACAAAGTTATCAAAAGGGGTGGCTTGTTGTTCAACCATTGTTGAGCTTTCTCACTTAGAGAGTAGGGGAAAAGCCTCAACCAAATGTTCTCTTCGGGTACTCCATTGATCTTCAAACCTCCCGCTAACTCGAGAAACCTCTTAACATGCTCTCATGGAGATTCATTCTCTAGTACATGGCATTGTATGTTCTTGATCATTGTAATGAGGTCGGCTTTATCTCAAAGTTGTTGATGGCCCGGGTGCATGCATACTTGATTGAATATCTGCCGTCCGTGGGGCCATGTAATAACCCATCGTCCTCGGTTATTCATCTCCTTGGACGTGCTCTTCCACCATCTCAAGATTTTCAACTTCAACCTCTTATATGATTCAACTTTCTCTTCAACTTCAAATTCTCCTTCGGGTTTAATGTATGGTTGCCCCCAATGCACCAGTCTTTCCCTTACCTCCCTCAACTCTCTCTCTCTCTCTCTCTCTCTCTCGAGCCAAGAGTCAGAGAGTTCGGTTGATGTTTTCATCTCGTGGCGCCAAAGGTTTCGGATCACTCCTGGTCATACACCTCCTACACACACTTCACAAAACACAACTTGAGCCAAGACAAGCAAGATTCACACTCAACAATGCAAAATTGAAAAGCTAGATTAACGGTAAATGACTTTTTCTGAATAATAGCGTCAAAAACTTGACTCGTTCCCGATAATAGCGTCAAAAACTTGACTCGTTCCTAACTACACAATTAAATCTCAACTAAAGCCCAAGTGCAAACTCTAGTAGGGTGTAGTATAGGGCCAGTGTTTTAAATGTCAACCCGAGTCAGTCCATGTCTACTTCAATCTTTAAATTGTTATCTAACAAATAGTTTGGAGTTAAAGCTAAAAAAACTACAGTTGAAAGCAAAATTCAAAGTGAGAAAGCTTCACCTGTGTATTGCTCCTCCTAGTCTCGTATCAAGGTAAACCGAATGGAACTCTAGTGTTGAAAGGTGTGTTCATATCATGAGGAGAATGCAATTAGTGGAGAAGCCCCACTCCCTTAGACGATTAATCAAGGAATGTCAAAATAAGCTAGGAAGCTAGCTCTCTTAACTAATCGACCAAGGATTGCTAAGACCACTGTAACACCCCGAGTTTTGGGTTTAGGTTGAACCGATAAGAAATTAGTGGAATTGGAGTTAACCATTAATTACATGGACTCGAACCAAAGTTAAACCACATTTGGGACAAGATCATGGAGATAAGGGCTAATTTAGTTCAGCAGTTAAGAGGCCTTCTCGGTGGCCTTCCAATATTTTTAATGACAATTTAATTGCTAATTGTTAGTGAACGAAAAATATTAGATGGGGATTAGGGCTAGTGAAAGGAGCATGTTTAAAGGAGGGGAGGACGAGGTGGTCACTCTTCAACCTTGGAATACCGTCGCCTACCCATTCCTTAAACTCCCTCGAACGACCTCCAGCCCACAGAAATCGTCTTCGCCACCGCCAAAAGAGATTTTACATACATCGTTGTTGCTGTTAGAACCACAAGGAGAGAGACAGGGAAAGCCAATAGCAATCGTCAACATTATCAAGTGAAGAGTGGGTAGCTGGAGGGAGTGCACCTCGTACAGATCAGGAGAGTTGATCAATGCTCCGGTCTGCGGATTCGACGGATGATGAGATCCGAACGAGGAGGAACAACTCGTCCATGTCGGTGGTACAACCGGGTATTCGGGCGACCCAAGCATGCTAGGATGACGGATGCGGTTGAAGCAGTACCCATACATGGACACTATTGGAAGAACAAGGACTTGATCGAGGCATTCCATCAATAGGACGCGACGAGAGCGTCGCGAGCATAGGTGAGGGAGGATGTCACATGTGGCAGATGACATGGCGCCAACAAGGTGACAACATGGCGGCTTCACATGTGGCATGCATGAAAGACTAGTAGCATAGAGATGCTCCTAGGATTCTCCACCTTAATGTAGAGCTTAATAGTGCACTTATGAGTCACATAATGGGTGACATTTATAGAGTGCATAATGGGGGGACTTAATGGGGTGTATTGATGTAGTAGAGGGACATTATGAGGGGCATTGATGCCTTGTATGTGGAGAGGCCTATATAAGGAGCCATCTCCCTCACTTGTACTCATTCCATCATTTTTTAGAGTAGTACACACTAGAGAGTTCTCCCAATCCTTTGTCTTTGCTTTCTTGTGAGTTTGAGAGAAGGCTGCCTAGCGCTCTAACAGAATTGAGAGCTAGGGCCGCACAATCGAGAGTAAGGTCGTGAGGCCGCACAATCGAGAGTAAGGTCGTGACAGAGCCCACAGGTGCTGAGCTCAGTAAGAAAAATATTATCGTCGCCGCGAGGGCTCGAACCCGCGCCACTCCTCCGCTAGACAAGCAACATCACCAGAAGGCTACATGCGGACCGTGTGTTTCAATGGCGCGGCGTCTGATTTTTAACTACTCGCGCCCACTCAGTTCCACGGAACAAAAAAATAGCAATAGTCATGAACTATTCGCGCCCACTCAGTTCGACAGAACAAAAAATAACAATAGTCATGAACTATTCGCGCCCACTCAGTTCCACGGAACAAAAAATAACAATAGTCATGAACTATTCGCGCCCACTCAGTTCGACAGAACAAAAAATAGCAATAGTCATGAACTATTCGCGCCCACTCAGTTCCACGGAACAAAAAATAGCAAAGTCATGAACTATTCGCGCCCACTCAGTTCGACAGAACAAAAAATAGCAATAGTCATGAACTATTCGCGCCCACTCAGTTCCACGGAACAAAAAATAGCAATAGTCATGAAATATTCGCGCCCACTCAGTTCGACAGAACAAAAAATAGCAATAGTCATGAACTATTCGCGCCCACTCAGTTCCACGGAACAAAAAATTATTTGTAGGCGCCAGTCCTCGAACCCGCGCCACTGTTCTGCCATGCAAGCGTACTAACCAGTAAGCTACAACAACAACTTACGCTACAAGATGCGTCACGCCTTTATTTCAACGATTGCCAAACCACGCTACATGGGCTTACATTTCGTCCACTCCAATCGCGGTCCACTCTCATCCGGTGACCACTTCGAACTCCACGCATCACATGGCTCGACACCACCTCGCGGCAAGACCGCTTTCGGCCGCTCTAAGAGGTAAAGCTCGCCTTGCATCGCCCCCGCACAACTAGCCCGTGAGCTCGCACTCTCAACTCGCGGATCAGGCCCAATGCTCGCGTCCCCTGGCCTGCTGTGCTGTTCAGGCGCGCCAAGCCCAACAGACAAGGAGCTCATCAAAAATAATATTGTCACCACCAGGATTCGAACTCGCGTCACTACTCGCGTGAAAAGCAACAATACCAATAGGCTACATACGCGCCTTGTGCCAAAATAGTGCGGCGCATTCCACTTAATCAGTATCCTGCCGCCTCTCCAATTTAAAGCTAAGTACTATATCCCTCTATCATTATCAAATATTGAAATATTTCACTTTCATGAGCGTTAATGGCGCTAATGGGGGGCTACACGCCTTAATGAAATACACCAACTGGGGGGAAAGATGCAAGAAGCTGGCACCGCGTCAGTCAAACGCGCCACCAGCTGGGGGGCAACTGGGGTACATAGGGCTCCACCCAGAATTACCGACGAAGATTTAAAAAAATATATATATAAGCTAGCGATGAGTTAAAATTCACCACCGGCTTGGGGGGCAATTGTTGGGGGTGTTACTAAATACTTCGTGCACAGACTAAGTAGTAGAGCGCACAATCGGCAATGGCAACACTCAGTACCCGCTACAGGTATATAAGGGCTTGAAGCCCTCCAAAGAAGGGACCTCCTCTCTCTCCTGACTTTCCACTTTCTACTATCTCTCTACACTTTATCTCTCTATCTATTCTCTCAACTCTCTCCTCAAAATTAAACTAACTTGATCGTCGGAGCTTAATCCGGGGGGCATCCCCGGTTCTTTCACAGGTTTCTTCCCTCCCGACGAGATCAGACGAACGGATCGTGAGTCAACCCCACACCAACAAATATCATTGTTTGATCTGGAGCTAGTCGGTACAAACATTTGGCATCCCAATCTGGAGGTTGGCTTCTCGGTTAACTCCATGTACATGGTATTAGTTGATGACAAGTTCCCTGGCATTTCTAATTTCCCTTCAGCTTAAGTTTGGCAGTGGAGGAAGATCGTGCCAGCAAAGATCCGTTTTTTTCTTGTGGACGCTCTCTCACAAGAAGGTGCTGACTTGGACATGCGGAATGGGTTAGGGTGATTATTTATTTTTTAGTAATCACGGTGGCAACGTCTTTATATACCATTTGATTAATTATTTTCCCTTATTTTTTAATCTTACGGTCAAGATTCTTTTAGGGTAATTTTGGGAATTAAAAAGTGACTACACCTGATTATTCTATATAATCTACCTAAACCCTAGTTCTATCCTCCCTCCAGCCAAACCCGTCGCAGCCGCCTCCACGTACCACTCTCGTCGCATTGCCGGCAGCAGGCCCGACCACCCTTGGCCACCGTCGGCAGCAGCCCCCAACCACCCTCGGTACTCTCTCTCTCTCTCTCTCTCTCTCTCTCTCTCTCTCTCTCTCTCTCTCTCTCTCTCTCTCTCTCTCTCTCTCTCTCTCTCTCTCTCTCTCTCTACCATCAACAACATACATACCAAATAGACATATTGGTAGTTTTCGTTTATGGATTCAATGTGCAGTGGTATAGATTGTTTATATTGGTAATTTTCGTGTAATGGTATAGATTTATTTCTGCAATGGTATTGATTGTTTATATTGGTAGTTTTCGTGTAATGGTATAGATTTATTTCTATAATGGTATTGATTGTCGGGTCAGATCCGGTCCTTAAGCCTCCTTTCTTGAGGAGGATCTTAAACCTATTCCAGCCAATAGAAAAAGGAGAGAGATAATCATTATTAATCATTGGATAACTATCTATAAAGACATGAATGGAATATATTAAAAATTAATGATATTAATAATGGAAATGGAAATCGAAACCCTATCCCGTTTCCTCAAACCGCTGCACCTCTCTCTCTCGTCAAAAATCCGGCGGTCGTTGACTCCTCTCTCTATCATCGTTTCCGCCGGTCGTTCACCTCCGCTCCCTCCCACCAGCCCAGCCCTATTACGCCTCCGTCACATAAAGCCGTCGTTGCAAGCGATCGTCGAGCCGAGCCATTGGCTGAAGGCGACTGGGAGGAATCATCTTCCGTGAGGCGGCTCCGGCAATGAAGGATCGGAGATCCACCATTTGCTTAATACATTATTAACGTCCTTTTCCATTGTTAACATTTTCTATGTAACCTATCGTTTCTATGTAACCTATCAACGATTGCAGAGCTATTAATAATAATTTATCATTAAGGATTTTTTAATCAGTTTGTAATTTTTAATTGTCACCTTATTAATATTTTTATAAGTATTATTAAATTTTTTGCTCAATGATTCGCATAGCTAATGTGTTTGTTACCAATGCTCAGTTAGTTACGTTTTGTTATAGGTTATTAGTTTCATAAAGTTTATTCCCTTTCATAACATTATTAATAGGTCTATGATTGAATGTTAATAATAGTATATAAGAGTATTATAAGAAGCAAAAAGAAATGGTTAAATACAATTCTGATGATCGTACAACTTAATTAATGATATGTTGTATAGGTTGATAATAGTATATTATTTGATTAATAGGATGTTTAAAAAAGCGTTAATAGTCTAAAATCGGAAGTTGAAAAATATGAGTTTTTGTTAATATCGTGACCCTTAATGAACACATTCTATTGATATGTTGTATAGGTTGATAAAAGTATAGTATATTATTAATAGGAGGTTTAGAAAGAAGAGTTTTTATTAACAAAAAAATTGTTTCAATTATTAACTTTTTGTGAGAGATTATGAACCTTACATTATATGTTCGTTAATCTTGACAATGTTCATTATTAACATTGGAAAACGGTGGTAATGTTTTTGTATATCGTTGATAACGTCATCCAAGGTAACGTTATCAACTTTTATAATATGATCTATCAACAAACCGTTAATAATTGAAACAATTTTTGTTAATAATGTTATTGAATTGCAATCATAAGTCAAACAAAAAATATAATAATAAAAGATCTTATGGGTATGTATATTAGCCATTTTTGTCATTTTTATTAACAAAATACATTTAAGAATGATAATCATCTTTGATATGTTAACAGCATTATGATTGGTTTCGTATTGCAACGTTGAAAATGACAACCATACAACATTAACGCGAAATATAACTTCATACATGTGTTCATCATTCGCGGAAAAGCGTTAAAATTCTTTTTAATTTCATTAATGATTACATATTAAAACATTAATAACAAATTTTTCGTTAATAATGGCATACTAGAACATTGTCAATAGAGTAAAAACATTGCAAACATAAACGTTAACAAAACCTCCAAAATTATTACTACTTTCGCATTACAACTTTGATGATCACAACCACTCATTATCCACACCAAATTACTAATAACCACGTTGTCATTATTATTAATGAAATACTGTCACTTTTCAAAGGGAGTCTAAGAGAATGATGACGGCCAGGTGTGCAAGCGGGATGGCGGCGTCACAAAAAGCTGCGTCGTCGGGATGTCGGAGATGCTAGAACTGTAGCGGCGGGATGATGGCGGGATGGCGAAGGTTCTAACGGCGGGACGAAGCTGCTGCCGTGAGGAGAGCGACTGCTGGAGTGGCTGCAGGAGAAGGGACGACCGGACGGAGAACTCGGGACGACCGAACGGTTTGTTCGCTTGCAGGAGGATGAAGAAACAGACAGCGGGACGGCTCGAATTGCGGGAGGGAAAAAGAAAGAGAAATGGGTTGGGGTTGGGGTTGGGGTTGGGGTTGGGAAAAGAAAGAGACGGCGGTTTTTAATTTAATTGTAGTCTCCTTAATACCCCTAACAACTATTTAACTAATAACTCCCCACTAATTACTTAAAATTGAGTTAGCCAATCATAAGGCTTTAAGATCCTCCTTAAAAAAGAGGCCTTAAGGACCTGAACTTAGGCCATTGACTGTTTATGGTATAGATTGTTTATATTGGTAGTTTTCGTGTAATGGTATAAATTTATTTCTGCAATGGTAGTTTTCGTGTAATGGTATGAATTTATTTCTGCAATGGTAGTTTTCGTGTAATGGTATAGATTTATTTCTGCAATGGCATTAATGTTTTTCAAAGTGGTAGTGTTTGTCTAATGGATTGGTACTGATTTCGTTTTTTTTTTTTTTTTTCAGAAAGATTAAGAATATTATGGAAAGGAAATCTGGCTGGAGATTACGGAAGTGAGAGAAAGAGAGAATTTTAATTAATAGATTTTTGTAACTACCTTAAATGTAATTTATTAAAAAATTAACTAATATAATTTATTTTTCCATACTCAATTTACCCTTAGTAACCACGGTGCCGTAACATGTGAACATGCTACACACTAGTATGAATACTATTGACAAGTTGACATTGCAACTATTGACAAGCTGGTCCATACCTGACCATATCAAAACTCGAGTACTTGGTGAATCCTGAATCGAGAATGAACGACTGATTCATTTTTCATCTTGCTGCTATATAAGTTTTTATACATCGAACCCAGAAACATACAGTTCCACTGGAGTGGGCAATAATCAATCAAAAACACTCCACAATCTGGAGATAGAAAGAACTACTGGCCTGGCAGAAAACCAAGTTTCTGAGGGGGCACGGAATGAAGTTCGTTAAAACTTCAATGGTACAACAACAAAAGAAAAATTCACATCCAAAAACCACAATGGTACAACAACCAATTCGGTTTACAGGACAGAAATGATTGATTAATCATCCTTCCTATCTCAATCGGCTTTCTCCCCGGCCCTCGCTTCCAGTCAATCCATCATTGCTGCGGAAGAACAGGAGGTCTAATGGTTCTCGTGTTGTATGACTTACAGTGGCTGCACTTCTGCCCAATTATGTGGAAGTTGACCTCTGTAGTGTCGTTGCAAAGGATCCAAACCTGGTGACAGAAGAAAAGAATCCAGAGGGTTCAATTTCATAACCAGCTCAATCTGCAGAAGAATATGGAGATCAACCAAAAGACATAATCAGGCCACCTTTTTGTTTCGATAGTCCTCTGGCATGACCGTTGCTTCGATCTGCAAATAGCAAAGACAGAAGTCCTTTCAAGAACAAGCCCTAATGAAATACGATAAATCTGGGGATCTTATCTCACATACCTCCTCATCTATATTCTTCCAGGCCTTGGACATGTCAATGACTGACCTTGAACATATTGGACAACAGAATCTGCCATAGAAGACGATGATGTATCATATGATATCCTGAACCCAGAAACGAGATTAACAACTACTGAACTAAAGTGGGGGGAGAGGTAGGGTACAGATGATTACTTCTCGTGCCTCATCATTTCATCACGACATTCATGGTGCATTGTGTGGCCACATAACATCACTACAGTGTCCTTCATGGAGTCAAATAAGTACTACATAAACCGGGCACATGACATCATTCAGTAATGGCAGAAACAACATATGATTCACGTATCGTTTGAAAGAGTTTCTATCACATGCCAACCTCGTAACATATTGGGCAATGGTGGCGCATTGAGTTCTCCACGCACGAGTGATTGTCTCGGAGGGAAACTGAATAGCAAGAACCTGAGCAATTCACTGGACGTTATCAGACATAACATTCACCACCAAAGAGAGGTTCCAACAGTGAAGAGAAAAAGGAGGGTAATGGTGAAAACCAAGCTTCAGAAGTAAAACAGCATACCGCACTTCTTGCAATGGTAGAAGTTCTCACGGCCACCAACTCTGTATCAGTTGAAAGAGAATTACTGGATCAGCATCCTGGTATGCAGATATGGTGCTTATGAGTTATGAGAGAAAAAAAAAATGTGGAGAAATGAATATAGGCCAACCTGCAGATACCACAATCATCACAGTGAAACTGCCCTTTCTCAATCTGCATAAGTTCAATAAGGACATTAATCAATACTGCAGATCACCATATATGTATATGGCGAATTAGGATGAATTAGATCGAGAATAAGGATTTACATCATCATCAAAGAATTTGCATATTCCACAGAAGTATTCCCCCATGTTGACACCGCAGTTTGTACAAACTTGGGCAACCTGAAACATAAAAATTAGGATTGAAAGTTGAAACACTGATCCGAACCTAGAATTTGGAAGGCTCTTCAGAAATTAGTCCATAAACCAGTACCGGCTGCTCTGTGTCACAAACTTCACATACAACCTGGAACACACACGATTCAACCATTGATATTCACTCAGTAATTCTCCCAATTTGATCCTAAATTAATCAAAAAGATGCAGAGTTTCAAGAATCAACGTACTTGCTTCACATCATACCGATCTAGCTCATGGTGATCACAGGGGTTCTTCAGCATGCTCTAAGTAAATCAAAGCAAAGGGAGCATATTACACCCCAATAATTCGGCATCCGAGTAAACATAAGTGCTTCCAACCGGATTTTGAACCATACAAAGGCACTAAAGAAATAGAGGAACTGGAAATGATTGCTGACTAAATCCAAAAGGGCAAGGGAAGAACCAAGCATCCCTTTATAAAAGATTATCCTAGAGCAAAGAAGCCAGAAGGATTGGAGAAAGAAGGGATCATCCATACCGCAGCCTCGTTGTGGCAATGACGGCAGGAGAAAATTTCATTGCAGCAAGGTGCTCGAATCTTGCATCTCCTCCTGTAATGCTCGCATCTGCAAAAGATGAACAAACAGAGACTCCCATCGGAACCGATGAATGCAATAGCAAATACCAGACTACACCGAATTCAGGGGAAGATTAGGAACGTTACCCATAACCCATCTTCCCAAACCCAAGGCGTTCATTGGACGGAGCGGCGCCCTCCATGAGCTTTGGGAAGTGATGGATTACTGGAAACCAGAGCGAGCCAGAGATGGGGAAGATCAGAGAACCAGAAGAAAAAAAAGTGCCCTAAACCAGTTTCCTGAAAAGGGAAGAAAGAAAAAAAGATGGGGATTTGGTTTTGGTATTGGTCAGTTCTTTAAAGGATTGCACCCTCCAAAAAAAAGGTAAAGGAGACGACCCATCATAAAAATTCGGGATAATTTATAAAAATAAAACAAAAAGCCACCATCTTTCTTCCACAGAGCTCGCAGTGAAATGAATACCTGAATAGTCAGAACAGAAGCGTGCAATCGATAATCCAAACCAACACGAACGAACACAAATTTAACTTGATTCACTAACACAATGTGTGCTAGCTAATCCACGGGCAGGGGGGACAAATTTCACTAATATGAGAAGAGTACAGGTTACATACCAAATTCCAAACGGACAAACCAAACAAACTAACCTTACTGACCTTTCTACAGACTAGGGTGATGAAGAGTATTTATAGAACTCTTCTTCTAATCCCAAACAGAAAACCAAACACCTTTTCCCAAACATACAAGGAAAAGGTCAAAACAAAACTCAATCTCAAAACCAAACAGAATAGGCCTAAAACACAAAACAAACTCAAATAAAATTCAAGTCATATTCTAACATGAATATTATAATGCAAAACATAGATGGATAGATCGACCCAACCCCATTTGGCCACTTGGTAGATTGGAGGATAAGGTGGTGTGAGGTTGTCAGTGATGGCTTGCTGCAGCCCTCGTGGGCGATGACTTGTAAATAATGACAGGCCGGCGCCGTGTCCGGAGCGAATTGAAAGTTTAGAGAATCAAACGCAAAGCAAGACTGGTTCAGGCATTTTCACGAACAGTTTGCGTGCTAACAAGGGGAATGAATCTACCCGATGCGATTCCGAACAGTCCAAAAATGAGACCTGAGGGCGGCGACGCCGTGAATGCGAGAAAGGTTACTTGAGACGGTAGCTGCCTTTTGAAGATTGAAGATGGGGAAATGGTGGTTCCGTGTTTTCTTCTTCAAACTCTTCCTTTTGTATCCAATCTCATCGCCGAACTGGTCAGCAGGCTTATCGTGTGAGGAAATCCAAATCCTAGCTTGTTTGCTCTGAATTCTGATGATTTTGCAACCGCCAGAATGGAGTTAAAGATTTGTCAATGTGACCATAAGTCCATAACCATCTTTTGGAGAATGCTTCGCATGGAAATTACAAAATGAATGGGTTAAAGACACATTTGGTCACTAAGATTACTAAATCGGGACATATTTAGTCACTATAAAATGTTAATATCAAATTTGGTCACTATAATTACTAAAACAGGACACATTTCGTCACTCGCCGTTAGTTGCCGTCCAACTCCGTTAACAGAGTCCGTTATGTGCTGACGTGGCTAACGTGAGCGCCTAGTCAGCGCTTTTTTGGTCAGGAAATGGTCAAACCCGACCCGACCCGCCACGTCAGACATCCAACACAAACCATTAACCCAACCCGACCCAGAAATAAACCCCAACCCACTTAAAAAAACAAATCAGTTTCCATTTGCAGACCCAAAAACCCTTCTCCTTCCTCTGTCATCCAATCCCCACTCCACGACCACCCCCGCCATGTCAGCCCAACCGCCGCCGTCGGCGATCATAAGTGCTTAACCCATCTAAGAGAATCACAGATGTAAAGAAAATCTCCTTTTCTCCAACCAAGCTCATCCCTCTCTCTTTCTCCACTCTCTCCACAGTCTAACAAGTCACAACCACCATTTCACTCCTTCTTTCACAACTTCAATTCGGTTCCATGGCCTGCAATTCCAACCACGGCGGCGGCTGCGCAAGAAAATAGAGTGACTAATGGAAGGCAACAGTAGTAACAGTGCAGTAGGCAGAGCACTAATGTACAACAATGCTTCATCATCCGAGAGCCAGCAGAACCATCTTTTCCGACAACAATAATCTCCATTGGCTTCCCCAAACGGTAATTTCAGCAATTCCAATGACGGCCAACAGATCCCCAGATCTGATTATCACCACCACCATATAAATCCTTACCCAACAACCTTCGTCCAGGCAAATACCTCAACTTTCAAGCAAGTCGTACAAATTCTCACCGGATCCGCCGACACAGCCAAACAAGCCTCCTCCCCAAGATCCTCTGCCACCGCCGCCAGCGATGAGGGGCATCACCCATTTCCCCATTCCTCCCATCAGAAGCATACCCAACAAGAAACAACAGCAGCAGCAACTCTACGAGAGGAGGAGCAACAGCTTCAAGCACTCTAGCCTCATGATCAACACTCTGCTTCTAGGCGCCGGACGTTTCGACTTCCATTCCAATCTCATCTCGTCTTCTTCCCCTTCCTCCGCCTCCGTTGCGGAGATCTTGTCGCCGAGCTTGCTGGATTTCCCCAAGCTGACGCTGAGCCCAGTGACTCCGTTGAATCAAGACACATTCTTCCACAATAACGGCGCCCTGTCACCCTACCCCTCATCGGCGGGGAACTGCAGCAGTAACAGCAGCTCATCCTCATCGTTGGAGGAGGAAGACCGGGCGATTGCGGGAAAGGGGTTCTTTCTGCATCTCTCTCCGGTGTCGACCCCGAGAGAATCCGAGCCTCAGCTGCTGAATCTGTTCCCTCTGACGTTGCCGAGGGCAGAGGAATCGCAGCCCTAAAAATTTTCTTTACATCTGTGATTCTGTTGGACGGCGGGGGTGGTCGTGGAGGTGGGATTGGATGATAGAGGAAGGAGAAGGAAACTGATCAGTTTTGTTCTTTAAGTGGGTTAGGGTTTATTTCTGGGTCGGGTTGGGTTAATGATTTGGGTTGGATGTCTGACGTGGCGGGTTTAGTGACGTGGCGGGTCCGGTTGGACCGTATCCGGCCGAAAACGACGCTGACTAGGCGCTCAAGTTAGCCACGTCAGCACTTAACGGACTCTGTTAACGGAACTGGACGGCAACTAACGGCGAGTGACTAAATGTGTCCCGTTTTAGTAATTACAGTGATCAAATTTGATATTAACATTTTCTAGTGACTAAACATATCCCGATTTAGTAATCTCAGTGACCAAATGTGTCTTTAACCCCAAAATGAATGGAGTTAAAGATTTTGAATACAAAATTAGGCCAAGGATAGAATCATAGAAAGAAAAAAAGATGCATCGTCATTTTCTCTACAATGAACTTAAAACTTGTATTTGAGACTATCAAAAAAAAAAATTCAAAAGATATCATATATTGATCACAAAAAAATAGATAGTTACACCCTGGAAACCAGTCAGGCCCGGAAATCAAAGAAGCAACACATAGTCGGATACAAAGAGAGGGTTTTTCTAGCTACTGAATGAGCTACCCTATTGTTCTCCCGACCTATAAATCGCACACTAAACTCAGGCCGGGCGCGAAAATAATGACATATCTCTTCCAGGACAGCACCCAACCGGTTATCCCTTGTGTCGGCTTGATTAAGCTTATCAATAATCACCTTGGCATCGCCCTCGAACCGGACCGCCGACAAGCCACACTCCAAACACCAAATAATAGTCTCCCGAAGCACGAGCAATTCCACCACTGCATGCTCATATAATTGAGGAAACTGAACTCCCTTAGCCAGAAGGAGCGTCCGCTCCGGGGTTAGAATAACCATCCCACCAGCCGAATGTGACCCACTCTTAGTGGCCCCATCCCACATACAAATCAACCGTGAATCACCCACTTGAGTTACTGGTTGAACCAACAGACACTCCAACCTAGGGGCCTGATCCATTGGCAAGCCCACCCATTCCTCATATTGTTGGTTAAATTGTCGCATGAGCGTCGGGATCCCAAATTGTTTACCTTCAAAGACAACCCAATTACGAGACCGCCAGATTTGCCAAAGGATGGCAACAACAGCCATAACCATCGAGGGTTGATGGATCAACGCCAGCAGACGTTTGAGGAATAAAGGAAAGGAGCGCCGAGGCAAACCCTCTCCCAAGTATTCTAGCCCTGAATAATCCCAGAGAGCCCGCGCAACCGGACAATAAAGAAACAGATGTTTCATCGTCTCCGGGCCATCCCAGCAAACTGGACATCGCGGCAGCACAGGAACCTTTTTCTCAATAAGCGCCTCCGTAGTTGGTAGAGCCCGATTAAGAATTTGCTAGACAAAGACCTTTATCTTCGGAGGAATCTTAGCTTCCCACACCCTGATCCAACTTGGCTTATCCATCCAACTAGCCGAGGATCGCCACCCACCCCTCCTCCTGTCCAAATCTACAGCTAAATGGTAAGCCGACTTTACCGAAAAAACCTCGTCTGTCGTGTTATGCCAAATAAGCTTGTCAGCTACATTCCGTCGCGGAAGTGGAATAACCTTAATGGCGCCGTAGGTAGGCGGTCAAACCATAGACTAAGCTTATCATCAGACCATCGACCTTCCCCTTCACAAATAACCTCCGCCACCAAGGGATCACCCCAACCTGGCAGGATCAACGGATTATAGCAAGGGGGATCGAGTTGGTATCCAGGAATCCAGTTAGAGTGGAGAAGAGAGGCCGATTGGCCATTGCCAACCAGTCATCTTAAACCCATCTCCAATAACTGTCGCTCATAGAGGATACTCTACCACCCCCATGAGGGGCGTGATCTAGCCGTCGCCCTCAGGAATGAACCTTGAGGGAAGTACTTCCCTTTATATACCCGGGGAAGGAGGGAATGAGGTTCATTGAGGATACGCCAGCCAATCTTAGCTAAAAGAGCCTGGTTAAAATGTTCAAATTGGCGAAATCCCATCCCCCCATCATGTTTACTCCTGCACATATTCCACCAGGACACCCATCTAATCTTGGGATGGCCTGCTTCATCACCCCACCAGAAACGGGCCACATGTTGATCAAGTAGTCGACAAAGAGAAAGGGGAAGCCGGAAACATGACATAACATGTAAGGGCAGGGCCAACGCTATGGATTTAATCAATGTTTCCTTAGCCGCCCAGGATAATGTCCGTTGCTTCCACCCCTGAAGTCGCCCTATTAGTTTCTCCTCCAAATATCTGAACGTGTCCATTTTGGATCTGGCAACCAGCGTGGGTAACCCCAGTTATTTACCATGGACCCCCACTGCACCAACCCCTAGGATCGTGGCCAAGAATTCCTGATCTGGCAGGGCAATATTTTTGATAAAGCACACCGCAGATTTCTCCAGATTAACCCGTTGGCCACTCAGTTCCTCGTATTCATTCAAGACATCAATTAAATTCTCACACTCCTGAAGAGAACCTCGCAGGAATAAATAGGAATCATCCGCGAAGAACAAATGAGAGATTCTTGGAGCACGAGGAGCCACCTTTACCCCTTATAGTTTCTTCTCTGAAATCGCCTTCCAGAGGAAAGCCGCAAACCCCTCCGTGCAAATCACAAACAAGAGGGGAGAGAGCGAATCCCCCTGGCGGAGCCCCCTAGAGGCAGTGAAATAACCCGAGGGTGTACCATTCATCAGAACCGAGAATGAGGAGGAACGAAGACACTCATGTATCCATCCTTGCCAGACAGAGCTAAAATCCATGTCAACCTATCATAGGCCTTTTCCATGTCAACCTTCAGAGCCATGTACCCCTTCTTCCCTTGCTTCTTAATTTTTAGATAATGCATTAACTCATGTCCTATAAAGATGTTATTAATAATCTGCCGGTCTCTAATAAACGCATTCTGACCCTCTGAGACGATCTGAGAGAGCAGATTAGCGAGCCGTTCAGCCATAATTTTGGTTATCACTTTGTAAACAAATTGACAAAGGCTGATCGGACGCAACTGTCTGATAGTTTCCCCAGAATCCACTTTAGGAATCAAAGTGAGCCAGGTATGGTTAAAGCTCCGCAGCATCCAACTAGTATTAAAGAAGGAAACTACTGCTTCAATCACCGAAGTGCCCACAATATCCCATAATGCTTTGAAGAACTTCCCTGTGAATCCATCCGATCCCGGGGCCTGCTTTGATCCCATGGAAAAGACAGTTCTCCGAACCTCACTGGGCAGAACCTCTGCTGTCAATTGCGCATTCATCTCCGGAGTAACACTACAGGCAATTGGGAGATTCGCCACCCTATCAATCATATTAGGAACCTAGGTCTCCGAGGTAAACAGATTCTGGTAAAAGTTGGTAGCAATAGTAGCCTTCGCTGTTTCCTCAGTGACCCAGTCACCCTCATCATTTCGGAGTCCAGAAACAAAATTCCTTTTCTGCCGAGCCCGAGTGACCGTATGAAAATAGGCAGAATTTTTATCTCCTTTTTTCAACTATCGTACCCTAGATTTTTGCTGCCAGTATACCTCATCTGCTTCCCATTGACAGGATAGCTCCGATTCCAGGGTCCTGATCTCATCTCATTCCACCGAATGGATCTACTTTATCCGATCAATCTCTGCCTAGAGGGTCCTGATATTGCGCAGGGAATTCGTAGTGCCCGCCCTGCTCCAATCATAAAGCAGATGGTGCAGTTTCTTTAGGCGCTCCCAAAGTCGAAACATAGGGGTACCTTGGATCTCCTCTTGCCAGACATAGTGGACCATAGCCCTAACCTCAGGATTATCTGCCCAGCGGGCATCAAACCGGAATAGGGGTCGACTATTTCGAACATACGTTTTATCAGCGAGAAGAAGGGCTTGATGATCCGATCCCTGGTCCGTAAAATGTTTGACTAAGGTCTCCGGATAAGTGTCAATCCAGGACTGGGAGCAAAACGCCCTATCCAGACGTTCCCGAATGCACGCCTCACCCATGCGTTTGTTCGTCCACGTGAATTGATCCCCTTGATAACTAGGGTCATGGAGACCCAAATCGTGAACAAAGTCATGGAGACTAATGGCTTGAGCAGCATTCCAAGCCCTACCCCCATCCTTTTCATTCTCATTACTTTGAAATCACCAATGACCACATAAGGGTGGTGGATATTTGCACACACATCCTGCAACTGAGACAATTGTGTAGCTCGAATAGCAACATTAAAACTGATGTAAACAAAGATCACAACATAAGAAAAATCTCCTTCATTAATTTGCGAACAAATTTAGAAATTGGAATGACAAAACACCAAAGTGTCAACCCCGGGGGACCACGCAACTACTAACCCACCCGATGCATCGACTGCATCAACAAAAAAACAATGCGAAAGAGCAAAACCTAAATACCGCATACGACCGGACACTATACGCCGGCTCGATCGCATTTCCGAGAAAAACACGAGATCCGGTTTATTGGAATGAATAAGCCCTACCGCATTTTGGAAAGTGAGGGATGGCCTAATTCCTCTCACATTCCAGGCCAGAAAGCCTCATTTATCTGCCGGGGGCCACTCGAGGCTGGCTTCCTCCACCTTCTCCATAACATCAGCTGACTCCAAAAATTGCTTCTTCGGGGTAGGAGGGTCTCCCACATCCCCATCCACCTCCTCGAGCACTCGTTTACGATTCTCCATGATTGAGTCCACCAGATTAGACCCATACTCATTCAGGTTCAAGCTCAACCCCTTGCGGGGAACATCCTCCACCTGTCCAATGATAAGCGCAGCTTCAACCACTTGGTGAACACGTCCTTTCATGACGGGGGGGGGGGGGGGGTCTTCATGGAGGCACCAGTAGGTGATCGGCGCTTGATTTCAAAGGTCTGAAGATCCTCCAGCGAGGGATCTTCATCAGAGTCAGAGGCCTGCTGGTGATTCGCAGCTTGGGGTCATCAAGAGTATCAACAATCTCTTTGTCTTCCAGCTCCTGCATAGCACCAGATGGAGTAGCGCCCTCATCCTTGTTGGACATAGTCAGGGGGCAGCTAGCTCCTCTTTTTCTCAGGCGTGGGCGAACCCGAGGTGCCGAGACCCCTGGCTGGGTCACAGTCTTTGAGGGCATCCGAGCATCCTTCAGAAGTTTTGGAACAGGGTCCTTTGTGGGGCCGGAAGGGGCATGTGAATGCCTGGGATGGTTGGCAGCCTCCCCCACACTTAGTGATGGCAATTTCAACCCGCCCCGCGGGTATTACCCGACCTGACCCGCGATGGGGCAGGTATTACCCGACCCGCAGTAGCGTGGGACGGGGCATTGGTATCTACTTCAGACCCGCCCTGCTCCGCCCGCCCCGTTCTAGACTCATTTTATCTCAATTTCTTACAATATATATACATATTTCTCTTATTTTGACTTTTCTTCAACTAGTTAGAGTCGATCTTTCAACTTGTTAGGCTCAATTATCCATTCTATTATCAATATTTTTCATTCTTAAAGTGTTTTTCCCTACGTTTTATTGTAAGAAGTAAAATTTACTTGTATTTTTTTTAACAATAAGTAAGAGTGGGTCGACCCGCCCCGCCCCGTACCCACGCGGGTTTTACCCGCCCCGACCCGTAGTAGCGTGGGGCGGAGCATGGGAATTGAGGTACCCGCCCCGCCCCGCCCAATTGCCATCACTACCCACACTCTCCTCCTCCTCGGATTCCTCCTGCAAAATCAGTCTACGCCTCCGGGATTGCTCAAGAGCCACCGCCACAGGATCCGCCACTTACTGTTGATGGGGAATCTGCTTCACGCGCCTACTAGGCTGCTGGCGGTTCTTCGTGTCTTGTCGAGGAAGAGTGGCACTAACACCACCACCAATCTTAACCCGAGGTGACTTCTTGAAGATAAACCTCTTCGGGCTAGTATGATTTCCCCCCAGCTGGTTTTTTTGGTTCTCGCAACCTAGGTTGTGTCTTCTTCCTTGCTTGACCTTCTGGTTCTGTAGACCGAGCGTGGTACAACCATGGAACATGTGCGTGCTCAGTGGGCATCAATGGTACCTCCTCCACTCGACCCCTGGCAGTCTTCGTAGTTCCAACATTTTGCATTTGGACATTTCTATTAACCCACACAGACTTGCTTGTATCTCGAAACTTAGGATAATTCTCCTCATCCATGTATATCTCCCTTCCTAACTTCCTTGTTGACATATGCGGTCCAACGCGTTCTTTTCCCGGAGGGGGATCAAAAACATAGTCGCGCTTGGAGTGTCCCACGCGGCCACAGAGGAAATAGACAGTCGGTAAAAACTCGTACTTGAGATTTACCGAGAAACTGCCAAGCTCTTCGCTAACCGCCATGAGTTGAGACCGCAAAGGTTTTGTAAAATCTATGAGAGCATGCACTTTCACAAAGCACTCATCCGTCTCCTTGGACGCAAAGACGTCCGCCTCCAAGACCTGGCCGATAGTCCCAGCTGCCACTTTCCGGCCAAACTGCTTAGTACAGCAGTCATCTTTCACGTTCCAGAGTTGAACGCGAAAGGGGGCAATGGCTAATTCATCGAAGGTGAGCCTCGAAATAGATGATGTCCGGGACTGGAGATGGAAAATCGTGTCTTTGACTATCCAGGGCGTTCTTTTCAGGATCCACACCCTTGTCTCATCGCTTGGAAGAACCACCTCAAATAGGCCAAACTTAGTTAGTGAAACCCTAAGGTTTCCTTTCACCCACCAAGCTTCGATTAGTCCATCTTTCAGCTCTGTGGTAGTGAGTTTGGCCTCCTAAAAGAGCCTTCCCAAAAGAGTTCTAGAAGTGCGAAACTTCACAGACTGAACCTCCTCAAATGAGAACTCGACCACTTGATCTCCGCGATACGCGACATTATTTTAACCTGACAAGGAGGGATAACTAAAGTATTAGTTACATAGGGTAAGGCTAGCTCTTTCACTAAGAGTGGCGGCAGCGTAAAATTGGGATAAGAGGAAGAGTCGCCATTCGAACGGGACTCAACGCCAGATGGACCAGCCGATGCAGCCAATGAATCTATCGGCAGCAGGTCAGGGGAAAGCAAAGGACCATTTACCATCATGCGTGTAGAGCATTTAATCAAAACAGAGCAAAATAGAGAACCTCGGGGATTAAACCCGTTACCTGACGAAAACAGGGGATCTCCGCGCTGCTGATGGGAATTATATGCTAAGCTCACTTCTGGAACAATGTCTAGGCTCCGAGCACTGCACAATGTCGGGTAGATGAGAAATTATAATTAATTAATTTGATCTAATTATTTCATTTTAAGATAATTTGACCAAACTAACCCGTTTGTCAAAGTAAACTTTTGGATGAATCAATTTGGTCTGAGGAATTTCAAATTGATCCATTTTGAAATAATTACAATTATCTTGGAGAGGGATATGTAATTTGAATTGTCTCATTATAAATTTTACTCGTTTTAAAATTTGCGACAATTAGTCAAATTCTCTTGTTTTTTAATTAATCCATTCAAACTACTCATCTATCAGTTTATATCTCTCTAGTTGATTACATTATTTCAACTGTATGCAATACGGTAAGCCAAAAATCTTATCAAAATTCTGACAAGTTTCTCCTTCATTTTTCTCATTATATCATTTTTAGACATCTTCATTATGCGTATTCGATTTAGGTTAGGAGATTCTATGGACTGGGTGCAACCCTTTCTCTGCCAAGGATATCTTATCATTGTTGGAGAGGAAGACCCTACACTCCCACAATCACTTTCTTCGACGACGACATCCAAGGGAGGAAAATTCATTATTTCTTTTAAACTACAACAAATTCAGCATTGCTATGTACTAATATATGATATAAGTCATCAACAAATAAAGAAATTACTATGAGTTGTTGGAAGAAGTCATGAAACGTGCATTTCTATTCCTTAGCTATGTGAATAAGACAGGTTGCTATCAAAATGGATTGAGAACGACGATACACAGAAATAAATGAATTTTAAACCAACATAAAATGATGTTCTTTCTCGTTTTGAACACATACAACAATGTTTTTCCCGTTGATTGTATTAACTTAAATTGTCAAAAAAGATTACAAAATTACATAAATTCTAAATTAATTATTTCCTTATACAGTTGTGAATGTATTTCCATAAATCCAGCACTACAACTCAAATGCCCAAAAATAGCCCACCGTGATTATTGAACCATTTGGGCCAAAAGTAAAAAGTAAAATGAAGCCTCCAGCTTCATCCTCAGCCTCTGAAAGGCAACGAAAAGAAAACCGCTATTGTCTTAAAACCTAAATTAATTGACAAAAACCTAAAAAGGGAAACTAAACTCAATCGCTGTGTACACATAATCGTGATTAAGAACCATAATCCGCTTTTTAAAACCAAAAATCAATAATTTAAGAGCAGGGAAGAAGAAAAGCTTTTTACCCGCAATTTCCCCCTCCTCCACCCGCCGCCGCCCGGGGTAAAAAAAATGGGTTGCGGGAAATCGAAACACGCCGTCGCCACGGCCACCGCTCCCACCGCCGTGACCCGAAAGAGATCGACCGCCAAGAAGAGTACAGGAGACGCGAGCAAGGACAGGCGAGAAGACGACATCCCGTCGCCGTCGCCGCCGCTGCCGGATCAAAACTTATCAAGCGAAGATAACGGCAATGCGGCCGCGGGGGAGGCGAAGCGAGAAGCGGAGCCGGGGAAATTGATATCCCGAGGGTCGCCGAGCGGGGTGTTCTCGTCGCACAAGGACGCGGAACTCATCGCCGCCGCCATCGGCGACGCGAAATCGGATGGCGACGATTCGGAGTACGGTTCCCCGCGGGCTGAGTCGGCGGGGAGCGACGATGCACTACCGGAATTGAACGTTCACAATGCCGCTGCAGATGGGGGAGAGAAAGCCGCCGCGGCGGTGGTGGAGGCAGCGAGGGAAGGCGCGGCCGCCGTCGAATCTGCAGCTCCGGAGACGAAGCTGCAGCACAAGGACGGTGATAGCAAGGTGGAGGAGGTGAAATTGGAAGGTTCGTCGGCGGAAATTGGCAAGGCAATGTGAAAACGAAATCGCTAATCTGAATGTTTATGGTTTCTATTGTTTTGAATTGATTGATTACTCAATTTCCAATGACAATCGTCCATTTTTTTAATGTCACTGCTTATTTGATTGCCTATCATTCTGCCTACAATTCTATACATTGCCAAAGTGATTCAAAGGATTTCTGAATGAAGGAATTGATTAGAGAAAACGATTACAGAATCCGTTCGATTCGAAAGAGAATAGGGTTTACTAACAACGTCAGGTTACAATACAAACTGTACACGAAGATATGTATGTAATTACAAAGGCTATTCCCTTGGTTTTGGGGAGGGAGAGTGGGACGTATACATTCCTAGTATAGCATCATCTATGTACAAGATTAAAAGATTCCTTCTTCTCCAAGTAACCGCCGACCAAACACTGCCCTTAAAATTTCGGAGGTCGAAAATGCTACGAATGAATGTGTGTATTAGTTTCTTCGGTTTTCATCTTCAGTATAGGGGAGGCAGGAACTCTTGAAAGCACGAGGTTGCCCTCCAGATCGGTGGTGCTGAACTCCTTCAAAGCAGGCGCCATTACAATTCCACAGGACAAGTCTACGTCTCCGCACAAATCGACGCCGAAGTAGGACAAATGGTCCGAAACGCTAGTCCATAACACCGACCTGAGAATGAAGGCAGGAGCGAACCGAGTCAGTAATGGCAAAATGCAGTTGGTCAAAGATACGGATTGTGAGCAGGGTCGCAGAGAAGTTATGTGTCGACGCAGGGCTACCTGCTGCAAGTAGGGTCTTCGCCAGAGTCGTCGCAGACCTTCTCGACTGTATAAACGAGACTTCCCAATCCAAGGTTATACAACCACACCTGCGCGTGAAAGGCGGGGATCTCAGTGTTGCTCTCCGTGTAGGGTTAAACAGAGATTATAGCATTACAACAAGTATGATTACCTCTCTGGCAAAGTGATGGTATGTCTTCGTTGGGAATATAGAATAGTATGGTGGCAAATGAGGTACAATATCACGTCCATTTACGACTCTGATTGCGTTAGGCACAAGCTCCTGGTAGTAGGTTGCAAAGACTGCATTGCCGATGCGGGGTTGTCCAAATGTCATCAGCTGAACATTCTCGGCTTCACGGTTAACCTACAAAACCACGAGTTGTGTTCTTGAGAGCGGTCTGGACATACCTAATCACATTCCATATGATAAAGGTGGGCTATTATAACTACTCACTACAAGATCAAGTGCACAGAACGCAGCAATGGCTCCACCCATTGAATGGCCCGTCAACATTATATCTAGCTCCCCGTAATACTGCTTTGCTTTTTTAATGGCTTTTAGAATTCCAGACCGTATCGACGTGTTGTGATATGCAGAATAGAAACCATGATGCACCTGGATTCCAATAAAGAATTAAGAAACAGAAAATAACAACTAGCAGTATAAAACTAATTCAAGAAAATTAATTAGTTTAGGCAGCATACCATTGCATCAGGCATTCCGGGATAATCTAAATCAAGTTGCTTCCAGTAGAGGTCTGAAATCCAATTCTGTAAGCTGCAAGGATCCAGTTGACCCAACAAAAGTTAACAACACAAGTAACCTCTCGTCAACCAGTTTACAGAAAGAAAACAAATAACCAGATCATAGGACATTTGCATCAGTAAGGAGTTTGCATACTAAGTACTAAAAAGTTGCGACGGGAGAAATAGAGTGATACCAATCGACAGTCAAGAATCTCAAGATCATAGACATAAACATATACATTGAAGAGAATTATACACTAATACCCAATTCAATTATAGTGCTCACTGCACGAAACCTATTTTCATGATTACATAGAGGAGTCTCTTCTTCACTGCATTAGCCGAACGAGAAGAGTTCAAGATGCCATTGCAGCAAGTTACAGACCAATATTAAGAACCCTAGTATAAATAATAAGCCAATATAAGATACATGCCTGTGTTCCTGAGTTCCTCGGAAGGCAATAACTATAGCATTAAGATCCTGAGCAACTCCAACATATGCCTTAAAAAGAACATCCACAAAAGGGGGTCAGCCATTACAATCCAAGACAAATCAACACCTTGTGCTTCAAAGAATATCTTGAACAATAAAAAAACACAAATTGCACACCTCTAAGCAGTGTTGTACATCAAATATCAGCTCCACAACTTCAAACCCCTGGTTGGTTCCAAGCAACAAGGTGTCAGGCCAATACCATTTGCAAGCAAACCCAAATCAAAAATTGGGGAAATCAAACATTACCGCCGTCAAACCATTGCATCTTGAACAAGTCCAGGTAAATAGCTCAGTCATATCTGAAACATACACCTGCATAAACAAACACCAGTCAATCGCTATACACTTGGCATACTCTTTAAGAAACAAACAACGGTCTAACATTTCATTGCACGAACAGGATAGCATTAGCAAGTCATCAAGGCTCTAGTAATTGCAGCAAAAACCAGAGACTCCCATCAGTTGTTGTAAAGCTTTGATTCAATCCAGAACGTACCGCGGAGGCATACTCCACCAATATCATAGCGAGGGTGTGATTGTATACCGGATCAGGATCAGCCCCATCCCCAACATATTCCCTTATCTTCAACTCTGTCAAAACCCCAATAGCAAAAGCAACAAATCAATCAGAACCACAGGAAGCCTTGCCCGCGGAAATCAAAACTCCTCAACCCAACTACTGAAACCAAATTCGAATTCCAGTTCTTCCTAATTCTCCCCCAACTCTACGCCAACAAAGTTCTAAAAACTTAAGAAATTGCGTTGGTTTGCTTCACCACCTACCAGTAGGAAACTGGGGAAACAAAATTCTACAACTCAAACCCATCCACCATTACCTCTGGCACAAGACGTAGAAGCAAGTAGAGCTACTAACATTCCCACCAATAACCATCGCTTGCCCTCCATTCTCTTCCAGTCAACCCGAACGAGAAGTCGGGTCAATCTGTGACCATTGACCAAGAACCCTCGCAGACCTCGTCCAGTGACCCGACCGGAGTTAGGGTTATTCACCGTCAGCCGGCAAGCGAGAGAAACTCCGATCGACGAAGAGGCGTAGAGATTCCGTCGAGACTCGTATGGGGACTCCTAATATATTATCGTTAAAGTTACGGAGAAGTTCCGATCGTAGTGATTGAGATTGGATGAGATTGGATTGGATTGGATTGGATTGAGGGCAAAGCAGAGCGGGGAAATAAATTAGATAAAAACAAATAAATAATAATGATGTGAGTCGATTCCCTGTATTACCCCTTCTTCTGGAGATATCCAACCGAATTCCCGTTTGCCGACCTGTCGGTATTTCGGAGATTGTGTGATGGCAGTTTCGGTATTTCGTCCTTTGGGTGGGACGAAAGTTTATATGGTTTTTAATTTTTGCGTATAAACTGAGGCGTCTGATTCGGTGGCTTGCTTCTGAAAAATAGAGAAGTCAGGGGAAATATTTTTCAGTTCTCTCGGTGGTAAATGTTTTCTTTTTGTGTTCAATTAATTTAGAGGTCTCGAAAAAAATCAATTTAGGGGTCGGGTTGGAGTTTTGTTTCAGTGTTATTTTCACTTGCATTTTTCAAAACTTACTTACAAATTTTGTCTATTAGACGTTTACGCCTAAAAAATAATTTTGTACCACATTACTTATTTACAAGGTATTGAGTGTTTTTATAAGGCCAGATTATTAATAACAATTAATGTGATTTGAACTGGGCCTTATGATACTAGTTTTTAAGCCCAGATCACTAAGTCTTCAAGAAGGAGCTAGTCTCGTCGCGAGTTGGGTAACCCAACGTGGTCGCGAGATCTAGACCGCGTTGGCGTCAAGTTTAGAGCCCGACTTGGTCGCGAGATCTAGACCTCGTTGGCGTCAAGTTTAGAGCCCGACGTGGTCGCGAGATCTATACCACATCGTGAGTCTAGACCATGTCCAATATCTAAACTAACAAGGAGGAAGTAAGAAAGCAACCCATGTGGGAGAGGCAAGTAACAAGACGATAGTTCCAAGATAAAGAGCAGGCGGTTAACAGAGCAATTGCCGATTATCCCACGTGCAAGGACAAGTCAGCCACGTCCGAGGAAGAAGGGGAGCAGTTCTTTTTGGAAGTTACTCTCAGACGGTTTTTCTACTACGGTTACCACTTCAAGGATATAAATAGGAGGAGGAGTTGACAGAGAAAGGGTTCACGAAATTTACACCAAACAACACAATGTCAAATTTTATCCCTTTATCCTTTCCTCTGCAATTTTAGACGTAGTCGTAGATCTGGAGCTCTCACTAAACCTCCATAGGAGTAGGAGTAACTTAATGTAGATATGTCTCGAGAGTCGTGTAAAATCGAACACCCTCGTTCGAACTGTGTTTGAAGAGGTGTGAACCGTGTTTAGTGATCGTTGTCCAAAGAAGTCAAGGTGCATTCAATTATCATTCAACGCAAGTTTTCTCACCTGGAAAACAAATTTGGCACGTCTAGTGGGACCCTTGTGGTCGATTCGATGGCTCCGAGGCGGAGGAATAAAGAAGGCGACGTTCCGGCTGGATTCGTGGAGGAGCAAGTGGCCAACATCGAGCATGGCCAAGTATCAGAGGCGGCGACTAGAGGAAATGGCGGAGCGAAGATCTTGGTGGCGACCGCACCTGGTGGAGATCTTGGTGAGGCAGTGGGGGCCCTTCATCAGATGATGGAGGAGGACCGCAAGATGGTGGCAGAGAACCGTCAAACCACAGAAGAGAACCGCAAGATGGTGGCTAACAACCGTCTAGCCACGGAGGAGAACCACAAGATGTTGATGGAGAACCGTCTCTTGTTGGAAGAGACTCGGGCCGGTACTCATCAGGTAAATTCTCAAATGGACTGTCTCAATTCTCTCTTAGATAGACGTTTGAGCCAATTCCTTGAAGTAGTTAACAAAAATACAAATGAAAGTGGATCAATTTCGACAGTCTTTAAGTAGACCAGTAGTGCAGTCAAGAGCTTTGCCATTAGATGGCACGGGCCTAACGCCTACTAATAGTGTTCTTTCTCTCGCTGGTGGTCAGAATGGCCAACCACGGCAAGGGAACTTGCCGCCTCAGACGGCAAGCCAACCACCTCCACATAGAGAAGATGATGTCGAGATTCCCACTGCTCAAGTGGGGGAGTCGTCACATGGACGCGTGGGAGTTGAAGTGGTACCCCCGCGTGGTAAGAACCTCGCCACCATGTTCAACCCTCGAGTTGAGCAGCCACCCGTGCAAGTAGGTGCTTGTCCCTTTATCCAAGAGGCAAGACCCTATGTGGCTCCCATAAATTTGGGAGTAGGAGGAGGTCTAGGTGGCAACATGGATCAAATCCCACCACGAGGCTACCCAACTCCAACGCCACCGCATTTCAATGGGCATGGCATGGATCCCATTGGGTTTGTACCGCATGGCGGGCAACAAGGGGGCATGCCAACACCCTTAGGGATCAAGTGGCTCAACTCCTCACAGAGCAGTTTGGCATGGGAGTAAGACCTGCCATGCCACCGGTATACCGTTAGCCGTACCCATAATGGGTAGACAGGCTACATCCATTCTCAAGGGGATTCAGAGTTCCCGAGTTCGCCACATTCATAGGGATTGGAGATCAATCCACTGTATAGCACGTTGGACGCTTTACGGTCCAATGTGGGGGTGTAGGAGATTTCATAAAGTTAAGATTGTTTGGCAACTCGTTGACAGGGACAGCTTTTGCTTGGTACGTCAACTTGTCGTCTAACTCCATCCAAACTTGGCAGCAAGTGGAGCAAGTCTTCCATGCTCAATTTTATAGATCTGAGCCCGAGGTGACCATGGCTGACTTGGCACATGTGCGCCAACAGCCAGAAGAATCGGTGGAACATTTCTTGACTAACTTCAAGAATGCTGTGATCGTTGCTTTGTCAATTTGACGGGGAGGGAGTTCGTCAAGTTGGCACAAGGGGGTTTGAGTTTTGAACTAAGAAATAAATTCCAAGATAGGGAGTTCTATGACTTGTTTCAACTCATGTCTTGTGTCGTGAGGTATGAGTCTCTTCTACATGAGGAAGAGAATCGTAGGAGTGCCTCAACGGGATCCTACTTCCCAAACTTAGACTACATTATCAACCATGTTGGCCACGAGGATAATGAGGTTGAAGTGGACTTGGCTGAGATAACTCCAGGGAAGCCGTGTGTGTGCCTCCTTGACTAAAGTTGAAGATGGGCTGCAAGGGGGGAAACCCAATCGTGCTCCCATTCAGCCACGAAAGTACTCCTTTGATATCTCGAAGGCATACTTGATTTTTGACCAATTCTATAAGGATGGTCAAGTCAAGTTAACAGGGGGCATGTCTTCCCCCCACCTGAGAAGTTAAAAGGAAAGAAGTATTGTAAATGGCATAATAGCATGTCACATGCCACTGATGCTTGTGTGGTATTCCTTAATGTCTTGCAGGATGCCATTGAAAAGGGATGTATTAAGTTCCCTAAAGCAAAGAAGAATGCCATGTTGGTGGACACTGATCCGTTCCCCAAGGTGCTTGGCGTCAACATGGTCAACCCATACTTCTCCAAAGTCGAGTTGCCACGCTTCAAGCTGGTGTTGGATACAACACCGCCTCGAAGGATCCCCAACATGGTTTTCGACCAAGGGAGCTCGTCATGTACCAAGCAGGCCAGCCTGACCGCAATGATGACTGATGAAGTTGAGAAGTTGTGTGCTCAATGCAAGAAGAGTCTCAAGCTTGACGAAGAGAAGTCGAGATGTCCATTTGGGGGCAGGTGATTTCCAAGAAGCCACATCAACCCAAAGCCACACATGTTTGTGATAAATATGGCTAAGTATGGACAAGAAGGCATGCCACCAATCACAAACAGTGGACATGGAGGCAAGTCCAACAAGGAAAGATGTGGAAAAGGCAGAAAGAGTTGTCACAGTCTTGCAAATTTGGCTAAGTCTGGACAAGGGAGCATTTCACCCATCATGAAGAATGGAGTAGGGAGCATCTCCAAGAAGACACAACAAGTCAAACCCCCACATGGATTTTGTAAGCGTGAGATTATGGACAAGGGTGGATTGGGGGGAAAGTTCATGTCAATGAATAGTAAGTACTCGTCACCAACCACAAAGAGTGGACATGGGGGCATGTATAAGAAGTCACCATACACACCAGCCAAATATGGTTGCACAAAGAATCAATGGTGGTTGAGTGCTAAGTGTAGGGGCCAACAAGGTTTATATGTTGAAAGACTAAGTCACGGAAGCTACACGAGTGGTTGTCGACTTGTCAAGCCTAGACCTAGTCCCCAAAATTGTGAGGAGATTAAGCATGTATCAAGTGGGAGGAAAGCAAGGCAGAGGAACAATCATGATAGCCTTGACATGCCAAGTAAGGTGTCCAAGTAAAGAAGCATGAGACCTCATGCAAGGCCACAAAGACTAGACATGCTGACCATGTACCACCCATTAGTAAGATAGAAAATTCGTAGTTAATGTATGAAGAGTCATCTCCTATAGAGGGAAAGAGGCATGTGGTCTATGGATGCCATGTCTGGTTTGATCAATGGACTTGACAATGGGTGTACACCTTTGGTACATTGATTGTTGCCAAATGCTATGGAGAGCAGTGACATTTGTCACTTCTTGCCATGTAAAATAAATATATTTATATAATATAATAATAATATAGTATTTATATAAAAAAAATTGTAGCCAAACATGGCTAAAAAAAGATAGAGAGAAAATATCAAAGTGAGCTTCTTGATTCGAAGTTGTTAGACTTCGATGTGAAGATCTTGCCACCAAGTCATTATGATGGCTGACATGCCGAATCATACATCAGGCCATGCCATGCCATGTTGTCTTGTCCTGAGTAGCCACGACCTGGGGGGCACGATGGTTTGAAACGTTGTAGTAAAGGAGTGGTGGCTATAATGTCTCTAACAAGATAAAAAGGAACATTATTTTTCTAAGGCAAAAAGTAGACGGCTTGAGTTGTCGTGAGGGAGCTGCTTGGCCTTGTGACGAGGTGAGATGAGTCGCTCTGTGTTAAAATTTGTGCGAAAAAAATTCTAACTTACTTGCTCAACCATGTGGCCAAGTACTGGGACAAGTCTTTGACGCCAAGTTCGATCCAGCCATGTTGGCTTGATCACTTGAAAGCCAAAATTTGGCTAAGGCATGGAACAAGCCATGACGTCGAGTTCCATCTAGTCATGATGGCTTGATCACGTGAAAGCCAAAATTTGACTAAGGCATGGAACAAGTTTTGACGACGAGTTCCATCCGGGCGTGTTGTCTTAACGTGATAGCCATGACTTGACGTAGTAGCCAAAATTTGGCTCATGCATGGAGCAAGCTTTGACGTCTAGTTCCATCTCGCCATGTTCGCTTGACGTGATAGCCAAAATTTGGTTAAGGCATGGGCTAAATTTTTTACGACGAGTTCCATCCGAACGTGTTGGCTTGGTCATTGAAAACCAAAATTTTGGCTAAGTAAAATTGGTGTGTTGATAAGCCAACACGTTATTTGACAAGCATGGCAGGGGCGAAGCTAGGATTTGATGTTCCGGGGGGAGGGGGGGATTTGTTTCATTTACTAGCAGTGAAATGTGAATTATATGATCACGTTATTAAATTATATGACAAAAAAAAATTTCTACGTTATTATGTTCCAAACAAGGGTAATTATACCACGTCCTTCAATATCTTTATGACTGGAAAATAAATATATGTATATATTAACATTTGAAGTCAATTATTAACACAATAAATAAGAATTCAAAAGTTGAATAACTAAATTGGTATCATCTAAAATCAATGACTGAACTTATAAGGAAATATAAAAAATAAAATTACTTCTTTGGTAAATGAAAACACAAAAAAAAAACGTGAATGGTGACCAATTAGAGAAGTTTTTTTAAAGAAAAAGTACACACAATGACCGCCCATGGAACCTGTCTAACTCCCTCCTTGCAATGAAGAAGTGGGATGAGGAAGGAAAGCATGAAGATCTGGATCTACCAACAGTGACTACTTGGGTGCAGATCCATGACTTGCTGCCACAACTCAAGCATGATTCTACTGTCGAAGCCATAGCCTCGTACATCTTCCCCAAATTCCATAGGGTGGACAGATCCTCGCTGGAGCACAAAGGATGGAGACGTTTTATTAGAGTGCTGGTGGAAGTCGAACTAGAAGAACCAGTCCCAATCGGATTTGAATATCTAGAAGGAGACAAATCCTTTTGGGTAAGCTTCAACTATGAGAAGGTGAATGAACTTTGCTACTTATGTGGTAGGATTGGACACCAGATCCACAAGTGCAACATTAGAGAAGAGCATAGGGAAAAAAGACTATCCACTAAGGCGTCGAAGATCTACACGGCAGCCTTGAAAGCGGGGCGTGAATCGCTGGCAAGCTCCCATCCACCGTCCTTCAACCAGAAATAGCATATTGAGTTGGCCGGAGCAAGCTCATCCCAGGGGGACTGGAATACGACATCCTAGGAGCTCATGGGGAAACATCCCCAACGACTCTTTCTCTTGTTAGAGGGGGAGCATCCACATCCTGCCCACCAAGATTTGAAGGGAGACACCTTCTCACACCCAGATCAATGACTGACACTGACATCTTCCTTCATGGAGACTTGAGAACGAGGCACCAGCTGTGCACACCGAGAAGGCTGGAAGAAGATTTGGATGAGGTAGCTGTTGCGGTCCAGAGATCCCTTGATCTCAACTGGGGGTTTTAGGGATACAGAGGGGAGTCAGGGCAGATAGGGTTGGGGAGTGGGCTCTCACTTGCCCCACCCACACACATGGCCTTCACAGATCTGAGTAGCGGTAGTGGGCCTCAAACTAGGGGCAATAGCCCACCGCTAACAATAGTCCAGGAAGCCCAGCGGAACTTTGAATGCATGATGGGTCGGGCCGAGAAGAAAAGAAGACCAGCTGACATCTATGCTGTGGAAACCATGGAGGCTGAGCCCAACCAGCCTTCTTCTTTGGTGGGAAATTATCTAACTTTTAATTTGGGTCCTTTTTTGGTGAGAAATAGAGGAAGAAGATCTCAGCAAGGAGAAAATCCCTTCCGGCGGAAAACATGGGAAAACAAAGAACTCAGAGAAGGAGATACTACCTCTTCACAGGCGGCGGTGGACAGCCTGAAGCCACCACACCCCAACTGAAGATCATGAGCTGGAATTATAGGGGGTTTGGCCTACCCCCCTACTCGAAGCTACTGTAAGAGATTTTGTCGGCAGTTTGGCCCGTCAATTTTGTTTCTCATGGAGACCAAGAAAGACTCAACTTTCATGGAGAACCAAAGAAGATCGACGCTATTTCACCACTCGGATTATGTAGAATCCTCTGATGGGTGTAGTGGTCTAGCTATTTGGTGGGGGGATACACTTGATGTACAAGTTATTGACTCCAGTAGCTACTACTTTGATGTTAGGATTAATTATGGTAGCAAATCCTTTTTTTGCACTTTTGTCCATGCACCCACCACTACCTTGGGTAGGAAAGTGTTCTGGGAGCATCTTAGTACTATTAGAGAAAGTATTGAAGATAGTTGACTCATAGTAGGGAACCTAAATGTAGCTCTTTCGAGCATGAAAAAGAAGGGAGGTGCCCCTTAAGGAATGAGAATGTAGCCCCTTTGAAGTACTTCCTCTTTCGGAATGCACTCCTCGACCTTGGCTTCAAGGGACAACCATTCACATGGACTAACAAACAGCAAGGGGAAAGACTCATCAGAGAAAGGCTCGATAGAGCTGTTTGTTCCACGTCTTGGAGAGCTGATTTTGAGAGGGCAATGGTATTCCATAAAGATATGATCGAGTCTGACCATTGCCCGCTCAGGATTGATGTCAACTTCACTGAACCAAGAAGAGCGATCCCGTTCCGTTTTGACAAAAGGTGGAGAGACAATGCTGAGTGTAAAGCTATTGTTGAGAAAATTTTGGCGGCTCGGAGTGATTCTGATCACAAACTCAACCAATGTCAATTAAGGCTGATTTCGTGGGCTAAAGAGGAGAGGAAATTGAAGCTGAAAAGAGAAAAGGAGATTAAGGAAAGGCTGGTTGTGATCCAAGGCCCAGTGAGATTGCAGAATGAAGTGGATGAAAAAAAGCTCTAAGGAGTTAGCAGATCTTTGGAAAGAAGAGGAAGCTTTTTGGGCCCAATGTTCCAGAGTTACATGGCTCCAATTTGGTGACCAGAATACACCATTCTTCCATGCTAGCACCATCCAACGCAGGAACTCAAACAAAATTCTAAGGGTGAAAGACTCAAATGATGTGTGGATGGAGGATGAAGTGCAGCTCAAGGATCACTCTGTCCTTTTCTACCAAGACCTCTTCAAGGCTCGAGATTTTCAACATTTGGCTAAAAATCTAAAAAATTTCCCCACCTTGGTCTCGCAAGAGATGAATGATGAGTGGTGTGCACCGGTCTATAATGAGGAAATTCACAAGGCTGTGTTCAGCTTGGGGCCTTCCAAGGCTCCTGGTCCAAATGGTTTCCCAGATCACTTCTATAGGAAATTTTGGCCCACTGTGGGGGAAGATCTGTGCCAGGAAATCAAGGGTTTCTTTATCACGGGCAAGCTCCCAGATGGATGGAACAGAACTCACATCACCCTGGTTCCGAAAGTTGACTCACCAGAACTGATAAGCCAATTCCGACCTATTAGCTGCTGCAATTTCAGATACAAGGTGGTGACGAAGATTATGACGACTCGCCTGCATAAATGGCTGCCACTGCTGGTTTCTGAGCTTCAAACAGCTTTCACCAGAGGACGTCAAATCCAGGATAATGTGGTCATTGCTCATGAAGTGCTCAATCACTTTAAGAAGCACAAAACGAGGAACCGAAGGGATATGATGTTGAAGCTTGATATGAGAAAGGCGTATGACCTCGTCGACTGGAATTGCTTGATCAAGCTCCTCAAGGGGTACAGGTTCATCCTACGTGGATCTCCTAAATCAAAGAGTGCATTATATCAGTGAAGTTTTCTATCTTGTTCAATGAGGAAGCTACACCAGAGTTCACCCCAGAATGAGGGATTCGTCAGGGAGACCCTCTTTCCCCTCTTCTCTTTATCCTGATGTCTAATGCATTATCTTTCTTGATTGAGAGAGAAGTTGATTTGAACCAAATTAAAGGGCTTAAGCTCAACAGAAACTGCCCTATCCTCACTCACTGTCTATTTGCCGATGATACAGTTATCTTTGGCAAGGCGACTTTGGAGGAGGCGACCAGAATCATGGGCATCATTGATTAATATAGAGCAATCACGGGACAGGTAGTAAATGGGTCATAATCGTCGGTTTTCTTCAGCTACAATGTCCCTCCAACAGAAAAAGAGGAAATTATCAACACCATTGGTTTTCTCCCACAAATTGCTACTCTCGGTACCTCGGCGTCCCTACAGAGTACAGAATGGGGAAGATCCAAGAAATAAACTTTTGCTTTCTTGATCAGTAGGATGGAGAAGAAAGGAGACAGTTGGAAGAGTCTTCTCCTTTCCGCAGGCGGAAAGGAAACCCTTCTCAAAGCCGTCTTTCAGGCAATCCCCACATACATCATGTGTCTCTTTCTCCTGTCTGGTACCACCCTGAAGAAGATGGACTCCATGCTTAGAAGGTTCATCTGGTCGGCATCACTTCATAAGAAGTCCATCCATTGGTGTCATGGGGACCGACTTTGTGCTCCGAAAGAGGAAGGAGGGATTGGCTTCCGCTCTTTCAAAGAATTCAATCTTGCCTTGTTAGCAAAGCAAGCATGGAGACTGCTCACGGAGCCACAGGCTCTTTGGGCCAGCCTTCTTAAAGGCCTCTACTTTCCAGCCTTAGATTTCTGACTGCTCGAAAAGGCGGCAAACCATCATGGATCTGGTCTAGTCTTAGGGAAGTTAGGAAGCTGCTGGGAAAGGTTACTGTGCGGATCATTGGCAATGGTGGGAACACGAGAGTGTTCCATGACCCTTGGATCCCCTGCCTCCATGGGGAAAATCTTCTCTCTTCCATTCAAGGTCAGATGAAGGTGGTGGATCTGATTGATCTCAACAGTAGGTAGTGGAACGACTTTGCTATCAGGACAATGATTGATCCCCACCAAGAGGATATGGTCAAACAAATCCCCATTGGGAGGGATGATGCTAAGGATTTCTGGGCTTGGAGATTCACTTCTACCGTAAGCTTTTCGGTCAGTTTGGCTTACCATTTCTTCCATGACATCAAAAGAGGAGTCATAAACAGTGTGAACCCCTTACCCACGACTGAGAAGGAGAAATGGAAGTGGCTCTGGAGCTTGTCTCTCCCTTCGAAGATGCGTTTTTTTCATTTGGAGATGTGCTCGAGGTGCCTTGGCTACAAAAAGGAACCTTCACATTCGGAGCTGCTCACCATCCCCAACATGCCAGGTGTGTAAAGCGGAGGATGAAAATGTCCACCACTACTTGTTTGGGTGCAAGCATGCTACTGACTCCTGGGAGAACCTGCTCCCATACATGCCCACACCACCAATTTTGGTTGGTGTCCTCGACTGGCTGTTAGACATGAAAGACCACATCCCGGTGAACTCAATGCAACTTTCATCTTCCTCATGTGGCATATTTGGAAAGCCCGTAACGAGAACGTCTTTCGGAATGATGGACCATGGCCACCCTCTACCTGCGCCAAGGCTGCTAATGATTGCTTGTCTTGGACGTCATGCCAAAAAATCCCTAGAGGCTTTCCTTCCACCCCTTGCCAGCCCATTAACCCCCTGAACTAGATTCCCCCATCGTCGAGCAATCCCTCTTTAGAGATTCACTGTGATGGATCATTCATAAATGATTCCCAGAAGGTGGCTTATGGCGTTGTTGCGATCAACGAGCATGGAGTTATCTGCGATGGGAGGGTGGGTGATCTTCTTTGTTCTTCACCCTTGGAAGTGGAAGCAAAAGCTCTTCTTGAGGCCCTCTTGCTTGCCTGCCACCTCTCGGTCCCATGTTGGATGAGATCCGATTGTTTGCCTTTAGTCGTTGCTCTCTCGGCTCCTCATGAGTCATGGCCATGGAGAATCTATGCTTGGTTAGGGATCATGGTGGACATTCTTACGAGGCACCTGAGCATCAAGTCTCTTTTTTTAGAAGGAATCTCAATGCTCGAGCGGATTGGGTGGCACGTTCGGTTGAACGGGATGAACTCCCACAGGATTGAACTCAGCTCAATGGAGATGCAACTTTAAAACTTCACCGTTAGACTGTCAGTGTACATGTGACTAAATTTTGCACGCGTAAGTATTTATCAGTACCATTATGTTTATACGTAACTTTTCAAATATCATACAAATTATACGTAGGTTCTAAAATTCTAGTAGCCAAAATTTGGCTCATGCATGGAGCAAGCTTTGACGTCTAGTTCCATCTTGCCATGTTCGCTTGACGTGATAGCCAAAATTTGGTTAAGGCATGGGCTAAATTTTTTACGACGAGTTCCATCCGAACGTTATTGAAAGCCAAAATTTTGAATAAGTAAAATTGGTGTGTTGATAAGCCAACACGTTACTTGGCTAACATGGTAGTCTACAACTACTTAGTCCATAATTCCTATGTACTAAGTAGTTGGGGGGCATTTGTTTACACCCAAAAAATAATCTTGTACCATATTGATTATTTACAAGGCATTAACTGTCTTTATAAAGCCAGATCATTAATGACAATTAATGTTATTTGAACTAGGCCTCATGATACTAGTTTTTAAGCCCAAATCACTAAGTCTCCAACAAGAAGCTAGTCTCGTCGCGAGTTGGGTAGCCCGACGTGGTCGCGAGATCTAGACCGCGTTGGCGTCAAGTTTAGAGCCCGACGTGGTCGCGAGATCTAGACCATGTTGGTGTCAAGTTTAGAGCCCGACGTGGTCGCGAGATCTAGACCCCGTTGGTGTCAAGTTTAGAGCCAGACGTGGTCGCGAGATCTAGACCACGTTGGCGTCAAATTTAGAGCCCGACGTGGTCGCGAGATCTATACCACGTTGGCGTCAATTCTAGAGCCATGTGTAGTCGCGAGATCTAGACCGCGTTGGCGTCAAGTTTAGAGCTCGACGTGGTCATGAAAGCTGATTTTTTTATCTGTTTCCTTTAGAAAGTAGATATTTTAAGCCAAAAATGGCGAGTGGGAAATCAAATATGTAAATCGCATAAACCAAAATTGTTGAAGCATGTCTTTGTACATATGATCATAGATAGAGGTACGCCATTGTTGGTTGGTTACAACTCATTTTTATCACTCAATATTAAGTTTTTAATTAACGTGATGGACTACAACTCTATCTATGTGAACCGCATTGGATATTCTTTGGGTGATGGCGCTCTTTTGGTTTTGTTGAATGATCGCCTTTTGTTTTTTGCACTAATTCCGCATGTTAGACTTCGTGAGGTGATATCTCTTCAGCATATGGAAGTGATTAAGAATTCAAGATTAGCCACGCTCCATGGGCCAGTGCGATTCAGCACAACATCAGTAAATTTCTACATAACCCAAAAACTATTATATTAGTTTGATTAATATAAGGACATATATATTACATACGAAGGCGGTAAAGGCTGCGAAATGGGTGCAGCGTTGCTTCGATCAGCTGATTGATTTTGATTATGCGTCATGTAGTTTCGTATTTCCTTCAGCTCATATAATGTAAATATATAATGAGAGATAGCCTTGCTCCATTTCGCCATTCGCAACACTTGAACTATCTGTTACCTATTCATGACTTGAAGAAGCAGTAATCGCTCGTTATTTGTAGACGCTTTCTCGTTTCATTTGTTTCCAGATATCATCATCAAAACTAGTCGTTTTGAATATTTGATGGTCAGGTAGTTGATTCGGCAGTTAGTAGTATTGATTGAGCATTATGTCGCGTTGTCTTCTCTCATGTAGTTAGCATACGTTGGTGTGACGTATGCATTAAGAGATGTTGTCACTTCAAGACTTCTGAATATAGCATAATGTATATCAAATTATCAATAAAGATATCCTTGATTAATTTCGCCATTAGCAATATTCGAACCTTGGTCCTCTTACTGCAACTTGAAGAAGCATCAATACTCAATTTTCAGGCATAAGACTTGTCGTTTCATTTATTTACCTCGTATAATTGTCATGTTAGCCGTTGTCAATATTTGATTATTAGTTAGAGAATTTGAAAGTTAGTTAGTCTTCGTTAGGCGATAGGTAATATTTGATCATACCTTATCGCTTTACAACAGTAGAAATGATGTTGAAGCACGCAGGCATGAATACCTCAATACATTTGCTTCATTCGTGACCGTTGGATATGACAATCAAATGAGATGTAGATTGTGATAAATTCATCCATATTAACCTGTAAATTGACGAAGTAAAGCACAGTGTTCTCATTTGAGAAACAAGAAAAAGAAACAAATTCGTATATATAACGTTATGAAACGACTCAGTTCGAAATCATGATCCTTAATCAACCTACCCTCGGTTCACTGCGGGTGTCAACCGTCAAGACTCAGGAGCCTTTTGAGGAAGGGTAGCCTGTGTTTGGTAGTGTATATTGAGGTGAGCGAGCCCGAGCCCGATTGTTCACATCGGCGGGAAATGCACCAAAAATTTCCCAACAAAGGGGCGGGAAATTCCATTTCTGACCGAAACGCAACTGACGGCCGCAGGATCATTCAGTCCCAGATCCAACCGCCCAAAACTTCCCCTTTATATACAGATTCCTCCCCTGCTCCCCCAATTCACCACTCGCTTTTTTGCTCTCCACTTTCGCATTTGTTTGCCGAAACGTTGTCTCATTCTCTCTCTTTCCGCAAGCTGAAAGAGGCCCAGCGGAGTAAACCCTCGATCCGCCGGAGGCGCGATTTTTTTGAGAATCAATCGAATGGCGAGACCGTCGAAGCAGCAGCAGTCGTCGGACGACGATTCACTGTCCAACGCCTCCAATTCGTCCGACGAGGAGCCAATCAACGACCAGATCAACGACGAGGAGGACGAGGAGGAGCTCGAAGCGGTGGCGCGCAGTGCCGACGAGTCCGAAGACGACGAAGCCGGCGGCGGCGATGCTGCTGCTGAAGATGACAACGCTGAGGAGACCGACGAGCCCGAAGAGGTGAGTTAATAATCGCCTCTCGAGTTCGTTACTCGTGCTTCCTGGGTTTCGCTGAGCTGTTTAATCTTACACAGGATATGAGCAACAATGAAATTAGCAAGCGTGAAAAGGCTAGACTGAAAGAGATGCAGCGGCTGAAGAAAGAAAAGGTCCAGGAAATTTTGGATGCACAAAATGCTAGCATAGATGCTGCGATGGTATGTCGACTCGAGCTCGACCATGATTTATGACCTGCACTCGTTTGGAAAACCAGTGTGTGCATGTGTAGGTATACTGATCTTTCTGGTTGACTCTTGTAGAATAATAGGGGTAAGGGCCGCTTGAACTTCCTGCTACAGCAAACGGAGTTATTTGCCCACTTTGCCAAGCCGGATCATACTGCACCAAAGGGCAAGGGAAGGTATAGTCCCCATTATGCACAGGTCTCATACATTATGCTTTCAGCTAATACTTGTCGAAATGGGTTGTATGCTAGTTTCCGAATGGGTGATCTTTTGGATCTCCATACTTCCACTATAATCTGAATGATAATAGACCAGTTAGTACACTTCAGTTTCTTCATTTACAATTTGATGTAGGCGACAGTTGGATGGCCTTAACAGTCACCATGGTTTAGCCTGTTAGAAGTGCTTACTAGCTAAATGATTGAATCTGTTGTCATAATGGGGTCTCCTTGGTTATGAAATTTAAAGGGGGCTGCTTGACTGACATATTAATCCAGAGGGAGGCATGCCTCAAAAATTACCGAAGAAGAGGAAGATGAAGAATACATGAAGGAGGCTGAGGATGGAATGGGAAATACAAGGCTGGTGACTCAACCTTCTTGTAAGTGCTTTTCCTGATCTGTTTCTCTTGTATGTGCAATCGCTGTGTGGCCTCATCCTTGTAAATAAATGGCACACTATCAAAGAAATACTGTACGTGGCAATGTCAGAACTGTATAGATACTGTTTCTGCAGTTTCCATATTGCAACCGACTGTCAGTTGGAATCAGTTTGGTGCAATCGTGGTATTGAGCGGTTTGATGATTTAATGAGCCTGTTTTCAGAATATTTTTGGTGCAATCGCTGTATTCAGCAGTTTGGTGCAATGGACTGACAGATACAATAATTCTCTTGGTATTCATTTTTCTAGGTATTCAAGGAAAGATGAGAGATTATCAACTGGCTGGGTTAAACTGGCTCATCAGACTGTATGAGAATGGCATAAATGGAATCCTTGCAGATGAAATGGTATGCCTCAAAGACGGCCTTTCAAATTGGTCATTAGTTGTTGTTGTACTATATGACCTATAATTGCAATTTCTGGATTATGTTGCCTTTTTCTTTCTAGGGACTTGGAAAGACTTTACAAACCATCTCATTATTGGGGTATCTGCACGAGTTCAGAGGGATCACTGGCCCTCATATGGTAGTTGCCCCTAAATCCACACTTGGAAATTGGATGAATGAAATTCGTCGGTTTTGTCCAATCTTACGTCCTATCAAGTTCCTTGGGAACCCTGAAGAAAGGGTACGTAAGCTAGAAATAACCACTCAATTTTGTGAAGGCATGCATGTGGGCTCATCTCTCTTATAAACTATTTCACCAGTTCAATTATTGCTGCAGAGACATATCCGAGAGGATTTACTTGTTGCTGGAAAGTTTGATGTATGTGTCACAAGCTTTGAGATGGCCATTAAAGAGAAGAGTGCTCTGAGGCGCTTCAGCTGGCGCTACATAATTATTGACGAAGCTCATCGAATAAAGAATGAGAATTCCCTTCTTTCAAAGACAATGAGGCTATACAATACCAATTACCGTTTGCTCATCACTGGTACTCCTCTTCAGGTGTGTAGTCAAGTCCTTGACAGCGTGTTTAGTTATTCAGCTGTATTTTTTTTTCTTGAATGTTAAGCAGCTATGTTGATTTCTGCTTAGTCCCAATATATCCTCTTGTTTCTACTCTCTGATGTAATTATTATTTTTTTCTGCTTGAATTAATATGACGTTTGTTTTAATACAGAACAATCTTCATGAACTCTGGGCTCTACTCAACTTCTTACTACCAGAGATTTTTAGCTCAGCTGAAACATTTGACGAGTGGTTCCAAATATCTGGCGAGAATGACCAGCAGGAGGTTGTGCAGCAACTGCATAAGGTATGCACATTTCCATTTTACGGCTGAGTGCTAAATCTATCCATCCATCCATGCATCTAACTCTTGACTCTGCTCCACTTTCAAGGTCCTTCGCCCTTTTCTCCTTAGAAGATTGAAGTCTGATGTGGAGAAAGGTCTACCTCCTAAGAAGGAGACGATATTGAAAGTAGGCATGTCACAGATGCAGAAGCAATACTATAAAGCATTGCTACAGAAAGATCTAGAAGTTGTTAATGCTGGAGGAGAACGTAAACGTCTTCTCAACATAGCCATGCAGCTGCGTAAGTGCTGTAATCATCCATATCTTTTCCAGGGTGCTGAACCTGGTCCGCCTTACACCACTGGGGATCACCTTGTAGAAAATGCTGGTGAGTTCCCCTTATCAGTGTCTGGATATACTTATCATTCTTCTGCTGTTATTAAGCTGGTTATTTATCTACTGTTTGCTTTTGTCAGGCAAGATGGTTCTCCTTGACAAGTTACTTCCTAAATTAAAAGAGAGAGATTCACGAGTTCTGATATTCTCGCAGGTCAGTTGCAAATACTAATATGAAATACTGTAGTTTCATACAACTATGAAATACAGTAGTTATGTTCATTATTGTGGACATTTAACAATTTGATTTAATGTTGTTTATACCTTGTGTAGATGACAAGGTTGCTTGACATTCTAGAGGACTATCTCATGTATCGTGGGCATCTATACTGCCGTATTGATGGTAATACTGGCGGAGAAGATCGTGATGCTTCCATTGAAGCCTTCAACAAACCGGGAAGTGAGAAATTTGTGTTCTTGCTTTCAACCAGAGCTGGAGGACTTGGTATTAATCTTGCTACTGCAGATGTTGTCATTCTGTATGACAGTGACTGGTGGGTCCTTTTGCCATTCATACCAGGTGATTACTTTTCATTGCGTATGTTATTGATTTATATCATTTTATTTCAGGAATCCACAAGTTGATTTGCAAGCACAAGATCGTGCTCATAGGATAGGTCAAAAGAAGGAAGTTCAAGTGTTTCGGTTCTGCACAGAGGTAGGGGATTCATTTAGTGATGTTATGTTCTTTCTATATTGTAATGGTTGTTTATGATTGTATTCGATTATGAAACAGTATACCATTGAGGAGAAGGTCATTGAAAGAGCTTACAAGAAGCTTGCACTTGATGCTCTGGTCATTCAACAAGGAAGGTTGGCAGAGCAGAAAGGTGTGGGACATTTCTGTTTTAACTATATGTAACTCTTAATCTTTCCAAATTTTACATTCACTGGAATCTGGTGGATTCTGTATGCAGCTGTCAACAAGGATGAGCTGCTTCAAATGGTGAGGTTTGGTGCTGAAATGGTTTTCAGCTCAAAGGATAGTACAATCACAGACGAGGACATTGACAGAATCATTGCTAAAGGAGAAGAAGCAACAGCTGAGCTTGATGCTAAGATGAAGAAATTCACTGAGGATGCTATCAAATTCAAGATGGATGACAGTATGTTCATAAATGAAATTGGTTTTTGCTGGTGTCGTCCATTTTTTACTGCATAACGGCTTACCGTATCTTTGTTGCTTATGACAGCTGCTGAGTTATATGATTTTGATGATGACAAGGTACATCCATCTTTTTCTATTCTGATGATTAAAAGTGGGAGTGATTCATGTTTCCATTTTAAGAAACGTGTCAAGAGCTGATTTTATTTGAAATTTCTGACTCTCTTGTCTCATTTATTCTTTAATAAAGGATGAGAACAAGGTTGACTTCAAGAAAATTGTCAGTGACAACTGGATAGAACCCCCAAAGAGAGAGCGGAAGCGCAAGTACTGACCTTCTCTCTTTGACTCTTCCCATCTTCTGCTGTATCTGAGTGGTTTGGGATGTGATTTTTCTGACGTCTTTTTCTGTTTAATCAGTTACTCGGAATCTGAATACTTCAAGCAAACAATGCGCCAAGGTGCTCCGGCCAAACCAAAGGAGCCCCGTATTCCTCGCATGCCACAATTGTAAGCTCATGTTGCCTGCTCTCTTTGTGCACGTCTTTTGAATATTGTGCTCTCTGTTTTACTGGTTTTCATTTTCCCTTGTCAGGCACGATTTCCAGTTTTTCAACACACAGAGGTTGAACGAGCTGTATGAAAAAGAAGTGCGCTATCTCATGGTGGGTATTTTCTCTGTTCATTTAGTTTCGTTGCTTTATTTTCTTTTTTCTTGGGCCTTCTGGATTTCATATGTTAACGAGCTGTATGAAAAAGAAGTGTGCTATCTCATGGTGGGTATTTTCTCTGATCATTTAGTTCCGTTGCTTTATTTTCTTTTTTCTTGAAGCTTCTGGGTTTCATATGTTAATCTTTGCCCCTGGTTGACTTGCCAGCAAACTCATCAAAAGAATCAGTTGAAAGACACAATTGAGGTGGATGAACCTGAAGGTATGTGCTTATGATGCTTGTTAAACTATTCTTTGTTATTCTTTCTGGACTTGTGTTCAGTTCTCATTTAGTTTACATTTTTTGTTGGATGCTGGTCAGATGTTGGGGAACCCTTGACTGCCGAAGAGCTAGAAGAGAAGGAGAAGCTGTTGGAAGAGGTTGGTAGACTTGGCCTGTAGTGAAGCTCTAATTTTGTGCCCTTTTACTTACATTGAAGTTGTAAACCAGGGATTTTCTTCATGGAGTAGAAGGGACTTCAATACCTTCATTAGGGCTTGCGAGAAGTATGGAAGAAATGACATCAAAAGCATTGCTTATGAAATGGAAGGCAAAACGGAGGAAGAGGTTGAAAGATATGCAAAAGCTTTCAAGGACAGATACAAAGAATTGAATGGTACCCTTATTCAGACCGAATACCATCTTATTTTATGCAATATTTGATACAAAGGATGCCTCTCAGTTTCTGTATTCCTTGAATTTGTACAGAGTTGAAAGTTAGTGTGCTAAAGTGAACCTTCATCTTTGGAATTTGGATGTATGTGCAGATTATGACAGAATCATCAAAAACATTGAAAGAGGAGAGGCCAGAATTTCTCGTAAAGACGAGATTATGAAAGCTATTGGAAAGAAATTGGATCGCTACAAGAACCCATGGCTCGAGTTGAAAATCCAGTATGGTCAAAACAAAGGGAAGCTATACAATGAAGAATGTGATCGCTTCATGGTAAGTATTTCTCTTAACTTGTTGCTTCTTCAGTCCAGTGTGTCTATCGTCTTTACTAACTACTGAGCTCATACTGATGTTTGTTTCTACAACCCTCAACAGATATGCATGGTTCACAAGCTTGGATATGGGAATTGGGACGAGCTGAAGGCAGCATTCCGTACCTCACCTCTGTTTCGGTTCGACTGGTTTGTCAAGTCTCGAACGACTCAGGAACTCGCTAGGAGATGTGATACCCTAATCCGGTTGGTGGAGAAGGAAAATCAAGAATATGACGAGAGGGAAAGGCAGGCTCGTAAAGAAAAGAAGCTTGCTAAGGTTTTTTTCTCTTAAATCTTCTTTCGTTCATCAAATCCACTGCTCCTTCGTGCTGATGTTTTTCCTGTATTGTCTACTTGCAGCAGAGCATGACACCATCTAAGCGTGGTGGTGGTGGTGGTGGGAGGCAAACTGAGAGCCCCAGTTCCCTCAAGAAACGCAAACAACTCTCCATGGATGATTACCTGACCTCTGTAAGCTTCTCATCCCTCCACTCCACCTTGGTACGAGATTCGGATACCTAGATATGATATTCGAATGAGAGATAATACACAGGGATTATCCGGTGTCTGATAAAATTGATAAAACTGTTTGGATGCAGGGGAAGAGGAGGAAGTAGTGAAAACAAGGCTCATTGCTCCGATGTAGGCTGGACGCTTTCTGCGAGGAGCAGCCATAGTTGGATGAAGTTTCACCATGCAGATCTTTTAGAATGTACAAATATAGGAAGCTGACTCTCTGGATGAGTAAGAGTATCCTCATGTTGTTGAGGTCATTATGAGTCCCTGTATTCCTTATGTAACTCATCAGGCCATTCGTAATCTGCGCCTGCTTCTAAACATGAACTTAGGCGCCGTAGTCATGATTATGATCGTATGTTTTGGGTCGGGACTTCTATCTGTAATCCTTAACGTTTATGGATTAGCTTCAAATTGTTATCATTTAGGAATTGGGATTGCATTTTATAGACAACGTTGTCCTTTATGGCAACTATGCATCATTCAAGTATCCATTTCTTCCCATCCAAGATGAAATGCGAAATGGGATAGAATTATGCCAGGATTCGATGTTAGTTGACGTGGCTCATCGAACGTCTCTGCTAGTGTTGTCAGTGTTTGATTTCTGGGATTTTGTAAGGATTACCGTTATGATGATCTGCCATGAATGGAGCTTCACCTTAACTGACATGGATCGACAGACTTCTCTGCGGGTGTCGTAGGTGTTAACTCATCCTACTGGAGTTCTCATTGTTCTTCATCTCATTGGCATTTCCATTACCAAAAAACCGAAAAGGAAGAACAAAGGAGACAGAAAGAAGAATCTCCTAAATACACAAACGATCACAAATACATACATCACATATTCTACAACTAACTGGATACGTGTTTCTCCCCCTTTTCCAACAATGCTCTGAACCTCATCAACCACCTACAATGGATCACTTCCTCAGACCTCGCCTTCTCTTTCTATCGCTCTTCGTATCCATCTTTGCCTTCAATCACAAGAAATCGAAGCATTACGGCCTTTGGTTTTCATTCTCTCAACAAACGACTACTACTAGAACCCAATTACAACATCATCATCATCAGTCAAAAGTTGGATACAAAGACTGACCACTCTCCTCCTTCACTTTACCTCGACCGACCAACTGACTGACTCCATACGAGGATGGTTCACCAGCCCCTCTGCTCGCCCTGTGAATCCTTTCACAGCAAGGATTAGCAACCTTTCAGCATCTTTTCCATCCTTCCTGTGCAAAATCTTGCATCAGTGTGTAATTCCCACTTCCTTCACTCGTTATTACTATTACTGCCATCGAAGCTACCCCCCACAGCATTCGCCCGCTTCTTTTCCCTCCAGTTCTCCCCCCAGACCTTTGCCTCAGCCACCGCTCTCTCCCTATCCAAATCCCGGTTCCTCGAACCCTCCCTCATTCTGCTGCCACCGTTCACTGGACTGTCCCTCCGGGAGTCCTGCCGCTCCAACTCATCCACGCCACTACCGCCCCATCTCCTCCCGGACCCTCCACCACTGCCAGATTCACCCCATCCCACCTCTGGACCTGTCCCCAACTCCCTGTGGCGGTCTCTTTTCCTGTAGTCGGGGGAATTCTTGTGCACAGATGGGGACCCAACCCGACCATCCGGGCTGTCAGTCCCGTCTTCCCTGATCCTCGGTGTAGATGCTCCCATTCTGTTACTATGGCTCGTTGGGCCGCTTGGGTCGTAGGTTTGGGAAGCTAGATATGTCAAAGCAGTCACCACATCCCCTATCAGTGGCCTTGTAGCAGCTTGCTCTTGCAAGCACATTGCTGAGACTGCCAGCGCTTGGTAGAGTCCTCGCATTGGATACCGTCCTTGGAGTAAGGGATCTGCCATCTTCGGGAACTTCCTCCGATCCTTGAAAAGCGGCCTCGCCTAAGAAATAAAACCCCCCAGCAAGTAATGAAGTCAATGGAAATTTAGACGTTTTGAGTATGCTATTATAAGTAATTGGAAAGGACGAACTTTACCCATGCAACGAGATTGTGTTCTCCAGGGGCTCTTGCGTTGTCGATTGCCTTGCGCCCGGTGATGAGCTCGAGAAACACGACTCCAAAGCTGTAAACGTCGGATTTCAACGTGAGCTGTCCAGTCATGGCGTATTCAGGAGCACAGTAACCGTAAGTCCCCATGACACGAGTGGAGACGTGTGTCTTGTCACCCACGGGGCCCAGCTTTGCCAGTCCAAAATCTGATAACTTCGGGTGGAACCCCTCGTCGAGGAGGATGTTTGATGATTTTAAGTCTCGGTAGATGACTGGAGGGTTGGCTTTGTCATGCAGGTACTCCAACCCTTTGGCTGCACCTGCTGCTATCTTCATTCTCGTGTTCCAGTCCAAGGGTTCTTTGTCTGGTGGAAGGTCTGAAATAATAAAAATAGAAATCCCAGGTTAGTTTGTTTGCTCGCAAACGGCATCATTTACTGCAATGTCTGCAATATGATCCACACAGTAGACACTAAAGAACGGTGCTACGATCTGGCATAGTTTTTCAGTCTCTACTTCAACTAATATAGCAACAAATCTCAACCTAGCAAATTCAGCAGACTCTAATCAGACTCCGAATTTACACAGAATCACATTGGCACTAAGGTAAGTCTTCTAGTCAATCAAAAAGAGAATCATTATGTGGCAAATCAATATACTTTGTAAACCTAGACTCTCAATTTTTCCAATGGGTCCAGCCATAAGCATGAACAGCTACATATCAAATCAGAAGAGGGCGTTATGAGCTAGTACTGACATATGTCGACAACTAATCTACCTGCTAAAAAACCCATAAGAATTGGACTGATAGAAGGAAGAACGAGGGAAAGACTTGGTACAGTAAGTTAAAACTAAAAAAAGTTGAACTCTTGACATGAAACTCTACTCTAAGTAGATGATGTACCGTAATGACTAGAGAAGAGTGAACATGATTCAACGAATATAAAGAAGAAAGAATTCTAACCGTGTAGATGATCTTCCAATGAACCCAAGGGCATGTATTCGTAAACAAGAAGCCGTTGATCCCCATCAGCACAATAACCGATTAAGTTAACAAGATTTGGGTGGTGAAGGAGACTAAGCATAAGAACTTCAACCAAAAATTCCCTATTTCCTTGAAGCCCATTACGGTCAAGTTGTTTCACTGCTACTACCTGCAGCAAGCAGTAATTGAGAAACAAGATGCAAAAAAATTATCAGACAAACAGCATTCCTAGGGGAACCAAACATGCAGCAACCATAAGATAAAAATCAAACTCTCACCTGTCCACTGCTTTCCATCCGGCCTTTGTACACCCGCCCAAACCCACCTTCTCCCAACAAAGACTCAGGTCTAAAGTTCTTGGTGGCAGCAGCCAGCTCACGGAATGTGAACGTTTGAGCTGCAATGTGAGCTGTTGAACCATCTTTCGGAATTGTTGGCTCTTTCTTAGACTCGGAACCACCCCGAGATTTTGATTTGTCTACATGAAACACAATTCCTTTGTAACGAAGACACAAGAAACCAATCGAAAGGAAACCATTTTGCCACATTGTAAAAGAACAACAAGGTGCCAGAAGCATGAACATGAAGAATACTGTAACCATTATACTTCTTTAACATCCGGCATTTCTTGGAAAACCCTATTGGTCAAATTTCACATTCTTTCACAGACAACCAACACAAGACAAAAAAGTTCTCTCGCAGTATATTCTCCATCTGCCGAACACAAACCAAAGCACTTTGTCCAAAATGCAAATGAAACAGCCCCAATTTTTGTCTTGAACAAAACGGTTAGAAACCAAAGAGAGAGCCGATAATTGCTAATGAAACACATACCAAGAGGAATCCTTACACAAAATCCAAAAGATTAATACAGAGCAGATCTCCAAAGCAGAATCAAAAGGATTCATTCAAACCAAATCTCAAAAGGATTCATCCAAAAACCCAAAATTCCCTTTCACACATGAAACCCAGTCGACGAAATCAAATCAAAACGGCCAAAAATTCTGAGGGGAAATCAAGAAATGAACTTCTTTTTGGTTACCTGAGCCGAGCCGACTAACATGGTGAGACTGAGGAGCTGAGCCTTCCTTCGCCAAATCTTTCTTCGCAGCTTCTTTGCCGCCACTTCCAGCTCCACCGCCGCCGCCGCTGCTGCCGTCCTTGTTCGATGATCCGAAACAAGGAAAGCACCCACCCATATCAAATCCGCCCGAATCGAATCCGACCCACCACCACCACCACGAACCCAAATCCAAGAAACCCTTTCTTCAATCTTCCCCACTACCACAGAATAACGAACAGCAATCGGAACAATGAAAACCCAGAACAGTAGAAGGAACAGGGTTTCGCTTTGAATTTCAAAGTTGCCGACTTTTTAACAATCAGTAATTGGGAGGAGAAGCAAAAAAGGAGAGCGGAAAAATAAACGAACATAATTCATTCACTATAAAAGTCGCTACTCTCTCAACTTTGCCTTCTGATTGTGCTTTCACTGCTCTCTCTCTCCTCCCACCACTTCCTCTCTCTAGCGTTTTTAGTGGCCATTGCAGCAGAAAAAAGAAAGATCGAGACCAAGTGGTAAGATCAACAAATCGAAGAAGAAAAGAGAAAAAAAAAACTGCTGTTGTGGAAGCAAAGCAGGAAGGGAAAGACAAAGGCTGGAAAAAAAGCAAAACCAAAAGGGGGAAAAAGTAAGAGATTAGCTCGAGAAAATTGGAAAACAAATGCATTTAATTACAATTAAATCCACCGGTTAAGTAATTAGAGTAAGGAATAATAATAAATAAATAGCAGAAAGGAAATTTTTTGAACATTTATTACCGCGTAATCCAGATATTAGCAAGAAAATAATAATACAATAAACGTCACACTTATTACTTTTTATCCCTCCATTTCTCTTTCTATTTCAATCTTCATTTTGACCGCAATCTTTTTCTGGTATATCAGTATAAATTGAACAAACGCGGAAACTTTACAAAAAATATAAATAAAAGACATCCCATAAATTACAGTACAGGATGGTTAATGTGCGGTTTAATATTGGTTCATCCTTAAATATTGAGAACGATAAGAGTGGACAGTTGATGTAGATCGTAAATCGATAAATCTCTTACTCACACTTATTTGGATGAGCGATGAGTGTATTGCGAGTCACTCGAATGACCTGTATTCTATCTTCATATAACAAAGAGTTGTTTCATGTTCATGCTATTGAATAATCATCATATTTTCTAACCGCACTACGCATTGATCATTTACTCTAAGAAGAAAATAAAATATTATTATTCGACTTACTTATATTGATTACTATATATGTTGTGTAGTATTCATTAAATATTAGGATGGAACTTATATACTATTAATTATATCGAAATCACAAAAAGTGACAATTTTCTCATCATAATTAGTTGACAGAGTAATGAAAAATTTGATACAATTACTAGATAAATCCACATGAGACAAGTTGGGAGTTGTTAAAT